TTCAGCGTAGAAGAGGTTAATTCAAGAGGTCCATTCAGTTAAACCGTTGGAGAACATGTTGAGAGCACAATGACATCCTGCAGGGACCTCGCATCACTAAAACTCAACTACATAAAGTTACAGTTTTCAGCATTTCTGTTGACGAATTTAGGAAAGATAGTTTGTCTTTAGGTTAGGTGTCTTTAATAAAGGAAAACATGACATATACTCCCTCATTTTAGTTAGAATTTGCTGCTTAACTTCCATGTTATATTGTAAACTGAATATTTTGGGGGGTTTGAACCGTTAGTCAGACAAAACAAGTCATCTAAAGATCTTATCTTGACTTCTGGGAAATTGTGATGGACATTTCATAGACTAAACATAAATTTATTCCGTTAAATTTGCTACTTGGCGCCCGACTTTGGTCATATTTCCTGCCATATTTGCGGGTTAAGATTACACAAATATTTGGAGAGAACATAGAAATTTTGAACCCGAGCGGGTTCTCTGATGTTGGAGAAAAACTGCACGACTGTAATTGGACACAGCGGGTGATTTCTGCTGTGTTTAGTCAATTTGTAGAGGTTTGAATGTGGATCTGGAACCAACTGCGCATCCGGTTTCCTACAAAATTGTGGAAAGTTTGTGGACTGCCCACTGCACAGTTTCCCTGGCAACGAATGGGCTTTGGTGAATGGTTGATCATGTTGCTCGACGCCGTCTTGGACTGAAAATTAGACAACCTTGGTTATAAGACAACCAACCCTTTTCTGACACCTTTGGGAGAAGAGGATTGAAGCTACGAAACACTTTGAGACTAGCCTTGCATCCAATAATGTAACAGTGCTCTGCATTAATAAAATATCTGCTGTTGTGAGTAAGTAAATGTCTAGAACTCCAATATGACCCAGTTTTTCAAATATATTTGATAATTTATAGAATAAAAATATTGTTTTATATTTGGGCCAATAAGGAATAATCAGTTTTATTTTGGAGTCTGAAGTCCTTTCAAACCACAAAATTTAGTATACGCTCTGTCAGTTTAAAGGCTAAATTTGGCTTATTTCTCAGTGGTCTCAGATTGAAGAGAAAAAAAACCAAGTGTTTGGAAAGACTTTAAATCTCCTTTTGTTCTCGTTTAGTTTCCTGTTTGTACAACACAGTAAAGTACTCATTTACTGTCCACCGAGAGCAAAAAGCTGGATACCATGCCGAGTCATAACCACTGTATACTTCACAGTATTGGTATGGAATTGGAACCCTGCTATGTTTATCTCATGCAATAGGAACTTGAGAACTTTCCCATCTGTTAAAGCGAGGCAAGGCCGTGTTGTTTTTCTGGCCAAATGGAAAGAACTTTAGACTCTGCTAAAGGAGAAACAGTATGATGTTTAGAGCTTGGTATGGAACCTAAATACTTTGTGGGTAGTGACCGGCATGTGTCTGCAGCACTGAAACCGGTCAAGTAGCAAAAGTTGACATTGATTCTTAGTTATGATTCCTGCATCTTTAATCAGATTCTTTCAGATCTTTAGGAAATTCAGACTTTGTTTCCAGCTGATGACCTTGTATCACTGCTTTATATTGAGATGAAGTCATGAGAGGAGATGTTTATCATGCTTTTGGACTTTTTTTTCTTTTTTGCAAAGTAAGATATCGGAAAAAAAATACCATTTTGGTATAAAACTCAGGTACTGTATTTTTCTAACAATACCTAACATTAATAATATTACAGTATGTTGTGCAACTCAACATAAACATGGTGAAAACATCAATATATACACACACAGACATTTTTTTCTCGATTCTGTACATGCTTCTCATTTCTCCTCAGAGACAAACCATGTTTTCATCTCACTGTGCACGCTGTGTGCGTCAATCTAAGTGTGTGAATGTCTGTGTGTGTGTGTGTGTGTCCTGGGGGAACTCCCGTCTCGGCCCTGTCCCAGGACCCCGGAACCTTCCAGAACACCGGGACCCGACCACACAACAAACGGCCCCGTCAGCGTGATTTATCGACCATTCACCACCGGGTCACACATATACACAAAGACGCACTCACACACACGGTCCCAAAAAGCATCACGTATGAGCACATATGAAAGCGCGCACGTCGACACGCAGCGATGAAAAATTTACCTGAAAGAATGCGGATCTCGCGCCGCACAAAAAAGATGCGCCCGGGCAGATGTTCGCGCACAGAAATGACACATGAAAGCGCCTACGGGGAGGGGTGAGGGGTGGGAGGAATTCTTTTGATATGATAAGAATGGTCACGGAAAAACAATGGCTGACAGAGAAAGAAATAAAAGAGCAAAGGGGCTGAATAAATCCAAAAGGAGCGATGGAGTCAACTGATTCTGATCGGCAACAGGAGGGGGAGGAAAGAGGAGATGGAGGGAAGGGTAAGGAGAATGAGGAGAGGCGGATGGAAACGGAGGAAGAGGAGGATGAAGCCGAGCAAAGAGGGAGCGCAGAGTGGAGGAGAGAGGGAGGCGGAGGGGGTCTGAAGTAAACATCGATGCCGGATGAATGCAATTTTTTTCTTTTCTCCTTCTCCCCATCTTCCCCCCTTCCTTCTCCTCCTCCGAGAGAGAGAACAAGAGGCACTGCATCATCCCGACAGGCGGAGAAAGAGAAGAGAGGGAGAGAGAAAGAGGGATTGTGACGGAGGGATAAAGGGCTATCCGTCTCTGTCTGTCACCTCATTCATCGTCCCCTGCTCCGTCCTGCCGGCCCATCCGTCATCCGCTGTCACACACACACACACACACACAAAAATAGAGACACACAATTTCCACCCACTTTCACACACTCCACAACAACTACGGCAAACACACACACACACACACACACACACACGCATCAAAGACAGGCAGGCAGACACACAAACTTTGACTCGCTCTCCGCCCTGTTTCACACATTCACTGCGATGACACACAAACGGACACACACACACACACACACACTCTACGCTCAGTTTCACTCACACACACACACACACACACACACACAGACACTTTCTACCCACTTTCACAGCAACGATGACACACACACACACACACACACACACACACACACGCTGCAGCCAGAAAGCCACACAAACTGTCGCTTGGGCTCTCCGCCCTGTTTCACACATCCACAACGATGACAGACACACTAACACACACCAACGTCTCTGCCGAAAGAATACGCTCGAAAGCGACGATGGCAAACACAAGTTCGCTCACACGCGCTTTCCTGCACGTACGCACTTGCCTGCCAAACGCTTTTTCCGTAAAGTCGAAACACGGCGCATTGAAACACACACGCACAAACACACACACACACACACACACACACACACACTCCGCCCCAACATCCTGTATTCTCCAGAACCCAGCGGAGCCGTCCAGTTCTGTCCCTCCTCCGGCTGGTTCTGCTCTGTTTTTCCCAGGACCCCGAAAAACAAGACGCCCCAGCACAAAGTCGGGTCCACTTCCTGCAGTCAACCGTTTCTCAATATCAGGTCTGAGGACCCAGGTTGGGCCTCGCAGGGGAAACTGGTGAAGTGGCCATGAACTGGTGGGGAGATTTACTGCAACATTTTCACCTGTTCAACCACGGACAGGACGAGTGTTTCACAAAGCATTTCAGCTACTGAAGCTAAAAACTTCCAGCAACAAAACAGTGTAATTGTTCTAGTGTACAGGCGACAGAGAGTTTGGCCTCTTCACCAGTAGTTTCTGCTCTGTTAGCATCTTTCAAGTTGATCATATTGTTTTTAGAGGAAATAAATGCAGATGTTGCTGCTGCTGCTTCCTAACAGAGATCTACAAAAGGCGTTAGGAGACTATGTACCAAGAACCATCATCCCGCTAAGAGGCAGTTCGGTTTACAGCAGAGGTGTGGACTCGAGGCACGTGACTTGGAACAAATTTGATGACTTTACACATAGCCAAATCAATTTTTGAACAGTAAAGCATGTCGACCTATTATTACTGTGTTGTTAAAATTGCATTACATTTAGTGAAGAGCGCATTGCGACTTGTTTGGGACGCGAAACTTTCTCGGAAACTCAACTTGAGACATACAAAACAATGACTTGGTTCCGCCTCTGGTTTACACTGCAAAGGGACACGTGTCAAGCAGAAGCTGAAGGCTTAAAGCGGTCTGTTCGAATCCACCCACAGACTCAGGGTCAACATCATCATCATATCGTTATGAAGAATCTTATTTAGTTGTTCATCATATTGGACAGTGCAGAGTATGTATGGGAATCATTCTGCTACAAATCAAAGTATTAGAAGTAATCATAATGGAACTTTGATCTTGTGAAATAAAGGACACATTTTAGACAGATCGGCAACCCGTTGGTTTTGATCGGTTTGACCTTCCGTATGAGACTTTTGCCGATAAGAAGCTTCACCTAGATAGAGTAAATCATGGCCTCCGCTTTGTGTTTTTTTACCTTTCGAGTTTATTTATTTATACCTTTTGTAAACTGTCTTTGTAGCTGCGTAGCTTTGAAGCTACTAGATCAACGTACCATTTCTAAAGGGACATTTCTTGTAATAAATGGAGAGCAATATGTTAATCTGCAAACAACGGAGGAAAAGATAAAAGCAGAAATGGTTTGGTGGATGGCGAAATATAAAACTGAAAAGAAGTTCTGTGGGAATTTTAAAAGACGTGACAGATAGAAAACAGTAGGAGAGGATAAAAGAGGGATGGAAGTCGGCAAACGAGAATGAGAGGATGGGGTCGGGGGGTAGAATAAAAAAAAAAGCAGAGGGTAAAAGACAAAACAAACAAAAAATCAGAAAACCAAATGAAGGAGGAAGACGAGGAGGAGAAAGCGTTGGAGGAGGAGGACTGGAGGGGGTGTGAGGGAGGATGGGAGGAAGGATGAAAAGGACGAGGGGGGAGAAGGAGGAGGAGGTAGAAAAAAGATAGTGGAGAGAAGAGAAAAAAAAAAAAAACAGAGAAAGAGAAGAGAAAACGAAGGAGAGAGGACCACGAGGGAGACAAAGACCTACTTGTCTCAAGTCACTGAAGGCCAGAAGCAACGTGTCACCCTGGAAGCCTGCGACCGGGCCGGCTCTGGCAAAACCTGTGGGAAAATACAAACCCACCCCCCCCAGTCCACCCCCGGAGAGAGGGAAGAGAGGAGGAGGGAGGAAAAAAAGAGGGTGAAAAACGGAATAATAAAAGACCTGGTCGGATTCGCTATGCATCGGGATAGATTGGCAGACAAATGACAGCCTGGGGAGGAGGAGGGAGGGAGGGAGGAGGGGGAGGGAAGGGAAGGGGAGGGCAGGGTGTTAGAGTCATGTCGCCGGGTCTTGTTGAAAAAGAGAAAAGAGAGTGTGTGTGCGTGCTTGTGCGTGTTTGTGGGTGTGAAAGAGCAAAGGTTTTGTAGTGTGTTTAGACGTAGGTTGTGCTGAATGTGTGTGTGTGTGTATGGGTGTGTGTGTGTGTGTGTGTGTGTGTGTGTGTGTGGACGTTGGAGATTTTCTAGCACTTGTCTTGCTGGGCGTGAGTGTGAGTGTGTGTGTGTGTGTGTGTGTGTGTTTATTTGTTGTTTGTACAGGGCTTCGCCTGCATGTTTGAGAACAGTTGAGGACTGTTGGATTTTGAACCCAGGGTGACGCCTGTATGTGTGTGAGAGAGAGAGAGAGAGAGAGAGAGAGAGAGAGAGAGAGAGAGTGTGAGTGTGTGTGTGTGTGTGTGTGTGTGTGTGTGTGTGTGTGTCGGGGTCGTACGGAGTGTGAGCTGGGGTCTTGGCGTCAGTTGGCCCCCGTAAACAAGCCGACTGGTATTCTGAGCGAGGGAACGAGAGAAAAGAGGAGTGCCGCGGAGGGAGAGAGAGAGAGAGAGAGAGAGAGAGAGAGAGAGAGAGAGAGAGAGAGAGAGAGAGAGAGAGAGAGAGAGAGAGACGAGGCCTGTAGCTAATCTCTTTCACCTCAGGACACACACACACACACACCTCACTCAGAAACACAAGGCCATACACACCACAGCACTGATTACACGCCTGCCATCTTCAGTGACCCCCGTGAGACACACACACACACACACACACACACACACACACACACACACACACACACACACACACACACACACACACACACACACACACACACACACACACACACACACACACACACACACACACACACACACACACACACACACACAGTGCTCATGAACTGCAAAGCTGTCGGCTAAACTAACCTTTTACCTTGTTCTCTAGACCAAACCTCCATACGCTACCTGCTAACTTTTACTTCACTTTCTTTTCTCTCTTCACCCTCTTCTTTCCCCTCTCCTCACCCCCTTTCCCTGTCTCTCTCTCCGTCGTCATTTCCTACCGACCTTGATGAGAAAACGGGTTGTTCTACCTCCGTAAAAATCACCCGTGCCAGCATCTTCTGATCTGTACAGGTTGGGTTAAGTTTAGGTCAAAAAACGACTGGGATAAGGTTAGAGAACGGTTGTGTCGATGGCCCTAAAAGAGGACTGTTGGGAGGAAAGCGGCCTCCAATCCATCTTTTTTTTTTTATTTTTTACTTTTTCTGTTTCTTTCCTTACCCAATTGTCGTTTTCCACTCTACCTTTATGTTTTGTGGCTCTTTCGTACCTTCTTTATCCAGTTCCGATCTTTATTTTTACTTTTACGTCACATTTGTTTCAGTCTCTGCTTGTTTTCCCCTCTAATATTTACTTCTTTAAATCTTCCTTCTCATTTCTCCCTTTTTCCTTGCGTTCCTACCTCACTCTTTTGTCTCGGCTCCTCTTTACCGCCTAGTTCTTTCCTCCTTTACTTCCGCTTTCATCACTTTTTCTACTTTTGTCCCTACTATATCTAATTTCCTTTCTCCATTTTTTGTTTTCTCATCCATTCTCTCCCAGTTTTACACTTGCATATCCCCGTTATGTCCACCTTTTACACCTCTACGTTTCATCATGTTCTTTCCTTCCTTGCACTCGTTTCTCCTCCTCTACGCCTTTCTTCTCTTATCCCCCCCCGTGATCATGTTCATTTCATCTGCCCCCCCCCTTCTTTTTATCTGTCACAATCTTAAAATTCCTCCTTTCATTTAATCTCTAATTCCTCTTTCTTGTGCTCTCCCTCGCTTCCTCCTCCTTTCAGACTCGCCATTAATTTCACTTTAATCCCTCCTCTCATCCATGTATTTCGCTCTCCTCTCTGCCCTTTCTTTCTTGTGTACTCTTGTTTTTTTTACATTTCACACCTCTTTCATTTAATCCCATTTTCCCCCTGCCCTCTTGTTCCTCACCCTCTTTCATCCCATTCTGCTCTATCCTTCTATATTAACCTCTTTTTTTCATTTAATCCCTTCTCGGTTCACTCTCTTTCAACGCTCTCTAATTGTGTGCACTTTGCTTCTTGTTGATTTAATTGTTTTTTTTTTATCTCTCTAGTCTTCTATCAAACTAATTTCTGCTTTTTCGTCACCCTTTTCTTTCTTTTCATGACTTGTTCTATTCACTTCATCTGTGTTCTTTTGTTTATTCCTTCACCTTTCCTCTTTCAAACTGTCCCTCCATTTTTCATTCTTACTTACACTCGTTCATGAACCCATTGCTCTTTGGACTGTTCATCCTCTTCTCATGTCAAATATTCCCTCTTTTCGCTCCGTTCTCTCTCTCTCTTCCTCCTGCCTTCCATTTTTCATTTCACCCGTCTTAAATTGAATCCACTGCTCTTACTCATCTCCCTCCTTTTTCGGTTTTGAAAAGCTTATAGTTTAACAGTGTATAACAGTCCTTTATTTTGCCCTTATTTTAATCCCATCCTCCCGTTTCTTCCATTTAATCTATCCATCCACCTTGCACTTTTCATTTCACCCCTTTTCATTAATCCCTTGTTCCTGTTTCTTTCTCTGCTTTCTCTTTCAGGGCCCTTCCAATCTTTCGTTCATCCTTCTCCCTTTTAAATTTAATCCCTCTTTCCCACCCCCGCCTCCCTGCGCCGTCTGTGGTTTCCTTCTCCGTCTGTCTCTCCATCCTCCCCCCCCCACCCAGTTCGGATTCTTCACATCCCTCAAATTTTTCGCCTCTTCTGCTTCTTTTGCATTTCATCCCTTCCTCTAGTTTATCTCCACCCCCCCACCCCTCTTTTCCTATCATCTCCCTCCATCCTTCCCAGTTTCTCTTCCCCCGAGCCCTCCGTCTGCCCTGAATCAGTAACTCCGTAACCTCCTAACCCCTCCGCAGCACTGCATGCATGTCACTGCACATCACATCACAAACACACACACATACGCGCAACACACACTGTGTGACCCGCGCTGTGACTCTAAGAACCTTGATCATGTAAAATCCGAGCCAACGGCGCCTCGCACCCTTTCACCCACCCCCCACCCCCCATTCTTTTATCTGCAGTGGGGCTCTGCATCTTTAAAGTCTCAGAAAACATGGCGGGGGGGGGGACAGCGAGGATAGGATGGGAAGAGCAGAGGGGGATGAAATGATGGAGTGGGAGAGGAGAAGAAGGAAAGAAGCAAAGAGGGAGGACAAAGAAGTGAGGGGAAGAAAGCAGAAAAACGGGAAGAGAGAAGAAAATATGGAAAAGAAAGTGAAGTAAGAAGATTTTCAGAGGCTATCAAAGATGCTCCCCCCCTCAACTATCTGACTGGCTGATCCATAGCGCCCCCTGTGCTTTCAAATGCAAACTGCACACATGGCTTTTTTTCTGATTTATTGTCAAAGTAGCACTTGATGAATGTCCAAATTCCAAACTGTTTCATTTGTGCTCCGTAATCTTTACACGGCGAGGGCTTAAAAATGTTTAAAAAATGTTTTATCCGTATTGTTGATTACACACAAATAAATACAGCTGGGGAGGTGCGCAGGGTGTGAATGTAAACGTGCGTGGGGGGCGCAAAAAAAAAAGGAGAGTAGGACAAATCAAAATGTGGTGTAAAGAAGGAGTTGGACAAATTAAAGAAGTAAAGAAGTGAAGATTAAAAGCGCAGAGGAGGACAAAGAGGGAGCGTGCAGGGAAGGAAATAAAAAAGGAGGGCATGGTTGAATTAAGAAAGTAAAGATAAAGAGGAGAAAAGTAGGAACTGACGGGGCAGACGGGGGGGCAGACGGGGGGGGGTAGCTAATAATATTTAAGAGAAGTATGCTGAATGTCGACACTCACTCTCGCACTCCTTGACGTCGGTGTAGAGCTGGTGCAGCGCTCCCATGGAGATCTGTCTGACCTCCGGGTCGAGCAGGAGCTGCATCAGGGAGGTGGAGATGTGTTTACAGGCCGACATGCAGGCCGTCTGGGCAACTTTACCCTGGGGAGGGAGGGAGAGAGGGAGAGAGAGAGAGAGAGAGAAGATGAGGTCTCTGTATTTTGCTTCTGCACTGCACTTCCCAGAAACCATCCCTAAAATCTGGAGAGGACTTCTTCCTGGGAGTTTCTTTACGTTACATTTTGCCACCATTAGTGTGATTTATGTTTAGTTTCTGAGGTTCCCCATTAGCTACAGCAGTGCAGAAGCTATTCTGGTTTTACATTGTAATACATCATAACTTGTGTGTGTGTAATTTTAAGGTACACTTCCTGACCTAAAACTCAAAACAGTTCACAGTTCAGTTTCACAACATCATGTCTGTGGTATTAGTGTAGTTTTGTATAGCATAGCTCCCCTGTCCATTTAAATAAAGTTGTGGCTTGCAGTGAGCAGACATTACAGTTCATCAGTGCTGATTTCCTTTTCAATTACACACTAAACAAAAAGGCACAGTAACCAAAACTCCTTCAAAGCTCATCATCTCCAAGAACATACACACACACACACACACACGCACACACACACACACACACACACACAGAAAGAAGAAAGCAAGCTGATGCATGTAAGCCCAGATACACTGAAACACACACAAAGAAACATAAATAGATATACACACAGTGGTAGTTCTCACACACACACACGCACACACACACGCACGCACACACACACACACACACACACACACACACACACACACACACACACACACACACACACACACACACACACACACACACACACACACACACACACACACACACACACACACACACACACACACACACACACACACAGAGTGAGCATTAAGTGTGCTGCGTTCAGGTGCAGTCAGAATGATGAAGTAGCATAACAAGAATAAAAGCAGCGGATGAGGAAGTACATGACAACGCATTAATACAGAAACCAAAACATGTGTTTGTGTGGGTCTGATTGAGAGTGCGTGAGTGTATACTGTATGTGTGTGTGTGTGTGTGTGTGTGTGTGTGTGTGTGCGTGTGTGCGTGTGTGAGCAGACGTGTGCAATCTCAGTGACTGGCCGTGGCCTCGATCTTGACCTCGGCGTCTGCATTCCAACAGAATGAAGCAAAGAGATGAAAAGGAGACGAGGGGGAGAAAAGAAAAAAAAAAAAAAACTGAAAATGAGGTAAAGCTTGTAAAAGTTCAACGAAGAAGTGCTGGTGGGAGAGAAACGAGAACGCACAGGATGAAATGAAAGAAATCCAAAAACATTTTCCCGTTCTGGTTATCGTGAAATAACGTCACTTCAATTCCATTATTATTTCATTTCCTTTCCCTAAACTCCGCTAACGCAGTCCTTCACTACATGTTATGTCGAGATCACGAGAAAACAAAAAAAACCCTGTAATTTCTGCCCCTCCGTACGAAATAAGGAGCACACGAAGGAAAGGAAGCGCATGTTCTACTGCAGGCCCTGATTACCCGAATGAGTGGTGACGCGACTTTGATGTGTCTGGCTGACACAAACACGCTCACACAAACACACCTTCAGGTGGTTAACACACTCCAGACCTTACATCCCAGCGCCGCGTATTTAAATACGTACATTAATCACACAATGAGATTAGACACGCGTGTATACACCCGCCATGTGCAAATATACACACAATCAGACAAACACATGTATAATTGTGTTTAATGTTTAGCTTGAAGTGTTGGTGTGAATCAGTTACAATCATATAATTGCACTGTGTGTTTATACAGCTCTAATCGCACATACGTGACTGTGTTTCTCTTTATCTTGTTATGTTTGTAAAGCATTCGCAGTGAATATATTATCAACATGATTTCTGCCACAAATCTGTGCACTGTGTGCTTTGACTTTGCTTTTTTTCTCTTCATTCTTTAAAGTCACAAAATAGCACCTAATTTAAGTATAAATATATATATATATACTCTCGTGTTAAATTATAGGTTTTCTTTACCCATTTATCCATGTTTATTCCCGTAAGGCTTCATTTTTTTTTTATGACTTTCCCATTAAACGTCAAACTGCTTCACGGCCAGGTCACACAGTCATTTACAACATTGGAATTTGTGGCAAAATCAATTCATTCCAGCGGAATTGCAGCAATCAGTGATCCGTATAAAATGTAACTCTGGCTAACTCTGACATGCAAATTTGAGTCGCTGAACAATAGCAACCTGTCTTTAGAGTGCCGATGTTTCAGGGAACGGAGAGCTCAAAATAAACTATCATATTAGCTTATTAGCCGTGTGTGCACCATCCAGCTGTATGTAACCTCCTCTGCTGCAGTATAAAGCGCTCTGAGGAATGGTTTTCAGACAGTAATGAGACAGGAGTCCATGGCAGAAGGATGACTTCTGAATAAACGGAATTCAACGGCTATTTCAGCCCCTGTCAATAAATTAATAAAATAACGTACGATCCTGGAAACAAAACGCAAAATAAGACCGTTAGCTCACCAGCTACAGAAGTTCAACAGAGGTTAATATTGTTTTTAAAAGTTAAGTAGACCCTGCTGTCTGTCTATGATGGACAAGGCTGGGGATAAGTCCAAACTGCCTTTTCATAATGAATTTGAAAATTAAAAAACAATTATGTCTATATATATAAAACTCACCCTTTAACTCTAATCTTAACTTCAACATGTTCCTCCATCCTGGTCTGCTAATGTTTTTCTACAGAGGTCAACAGTCTGCTTTCCAGTACAGTTGGAGGAAAAAACCAGCAGCTAAGGCCAAGAAGTGAATGAATGAAACAAGATGTAAAACACATTAATATTCCAGTGGAGCAATCCATTTCTAAAAATTCAGAGAAGTTGTCAAACTTGTTCCCAGAATACCACATCCAGGAAATTAAACAATAAAAAAAAAAAGTAAAAAAAAAAAAACATTTTTAGACACATTAGTAAAAATAATTGGCTTTCATTATGAAACAATTTAATAATCTTTTAAGTGACATACTTTGATATAATTTCCTCTGTTTGTTCTCCAGGCAGCAGCTCAACTCGCTGCCGCTGTAATAAACTGGTTTCCCCTCCGAGATCCATAAAATTCATCTTATCTTATATAACAAACCCGACAGCAGCAGAAAGATCCCATTGTAGTTGTTCGTGAACCGAGGTCCACCTCAGGAAAGAGTCTGGAGCGCAGTTCATTCAAGAGGCAGCCCTCACCTCAAAGGGAAATCAAATTACACACACGGCGCACACGTGCGAGCACATATGTTCGAGAAACACACACCTACGACTGGCCGGATATCCTCCAATACGATGCTGGCCTCTGAACTCTGTATGCACACACACACACACACACACTCCATACAACCCCAGGGGTCAGTTATTAAAGGGTGAGATTGAGCGTGAAATGGGTTAATTCTATTTACATGTCCTGAACCTGGGCTGACTGACACACACACACAAACACACACACAGGTAGGTCTGTCTGACAGAAATGGCGTTGTCTCAGAGTTCAGTACAGACAACTGGGAACCATTAGCCTGAGGCACTGTGGAGGGAGGGAGTGGAGAAAGGAGAGGAAAGGCAAGGAAAAGAAAGGAAGGCCTGGCAAAAGAAAGGAAGGGAAAAGTGAGGGACAAGTAGTAAAGAAGGAAAGATAAGACAGGTGAGAAAAGGAAAAGAAATGTGAGGACAGGAAAGGTGAGGAAAGGAATGGAAAGGAAGAATGAAAAAAGGAAATTTGAGGAAATTAATAGAAAGGGAAAGCATAAGAAGGAAGGTGGGTAACGTGAGGAAAGATGAAGAAAGGAAGGCAGAAGAAAGGAGAGAGGAAAGGCGGGGAAAAGAAGGGAAATCAAAGGGATGGAAAGGAAATAAAAGGAAAGACAGAGAGGTAGTAAAGGAAAAGTAAAGAAAAGAGAGGATGGAAGAGGAAAGGAAGAGGAAAGGAAAAGAAAAGAGAAAGAAAATTGAGGAAGGAAAAGAGAAGGAATGGGAAAGAAATGAGAGCAAGGGCAAGGAAAGGAAAGGTTGGGAACCAGAAGAGAAGAGGGATTCAACAGGGGCGGACAGCAGCACAGATTGATGGAGTGAAGTAAAGAAGGAGGGGAAACAAGAAGAGGGAACGAAGGTGAAAAGAACGAGGAGGAAGTGAAGGAGAGACAGATAGGAAGGATGCAGAATCAAGTGATGCTTCTTCTCCATCCTCTCTGCCTCCATTCCCAAAATCCTTCCCAACCTCCACCTCGCCACCCCTCCTTCCCTCCATCCCTCCTTCCCGCTAATGAGAGACGTTCATCAAAGAGCTCATTAAAAGCTACTCAGCTCCTAACGGCTGAACAAATAGACAAGAGACGAAAGAAAGCAGGCGAGGTGGAGGGGAAGAAAAGAGGTGAGGGGAAGGGATGGGGGACGAGACTGGCGGGGTCAGGCAGAGACATGGAGGGGGTGAATAATCAAGAAAGGGGAATGAACGAGGGACGAGGAAGGAAAAGGAGGAGTAATGAAAGGAATGCAGACAGATGAGAATGACAGTGAAATATGCTAAACACCTACATCTGTCTCAGCGATCAGGAGAGGGATACTGACAGTTTAGATACGTTTAAAGCCGCATTAGTAAGTATTTTTAATATTAGTATTGAATTAAATGACTTAATACATGGCTTTACAAAAGCTTTTTAAGCCCATTGTTTTGTTTTTCTTAAGAAAAATTACAGTATTGTTCAACGAAAGTTAGCAACTAGCTGATACAAACGGGACATTTGCCAACTTAAGAGACCATAGAGAGAACAAAGCAGAGCTAAAACATTGGACTTGGACTAGGTGGACATGAACTTCAATGTTGCATCATGTCCTTGTATGTGTCAACAGGCAACTGTTTGCTCACACATTAGGTTTAATAATTTTCTATGGCAACAATAAGTCAAGGGTGTATGTGTGTTAGCTTTCTGGGGAGGTCTTCTGCCCTCTAGTGGCACGATATTGATCGATGCAGCTTTAAAAAAGGTCCAGTGTGTAACATTTAGGAGGAGCTATTGGCAGAAAATGAGAGACTGCAACTTCACCACTAGATGCTACTAAATTGTAAACACTGGTCCTTTAAAAAAGAATGATGATTCTTAATATATGAGCTATGGGGCTCTACATAAACACAAGTTTCTGCCAAACTCATAACACCTTTTGATATTTCTAATGAGAGATTTCTGTATTTGTTTTTGTCTGAGAACTTTTGAAGTGGTTTGGTTTGGCTTGAAGTGGACGGTGGAGATAAGTGATGTCACGTACGTCGTGTCCCAATGAGGATTTATCAAGCAGATTATCTGGTTTTTAAAGAGGTTTCGACTGTTAAACTCTGAATAAACACATAGCCAAGAATGTTTTTTTTCCCCCCAAACTTTAGCTTTGATTGTTGTTTATTTAGTCAGGAATATTTCATATTATAGAGAAATACTTCAAAAAGAAATCTGCAATAATTGATCTTTAAGGTCACCGTGGTTCATTGGAAACAATCTGTAAATACAAAACTGACTATCACCTCATAAAGTTATCATAAAGTTAGTAACCAGTTGCTTATCTCCAGCAGTTAGAGAGTTATTTGAAGCGGTTTTAACTTGTTAACCAGCTAGTCTCTTCACTTGCGGTGCTAGGGAGGTCACTTACAGTAAGTTTTAGGGCTTTATTGTGGAAAACAGTGCCTGCTGTGTCTGGAAACAATACTATGAGAGTGAACCAAAAGTGTACTTCAGACCCCACCCCACCACCACCACCACCACCACCACCACCACGTTTTCAGGGGCCTCGAACAGGTTTAATGAAGCTTCCAACTGGTCCTGCCAATTTTGTTCTAATCCAGCTGACTTAATGCAACAAGAGAAAAATCTGTATGTGTGTTTGTGGTCAAAAAAAAAAAGGGATGTGGTCTCATATTTAAACACATTGTATTTTCAGGGTAAATTAATCTGTCTGTGTGTGGTCAAATACACGACTCAAGCAGTCCTGTTCAGTTAGCTGTAGCACAAATTGGCATTGACAATGACAAGTTATTTACAAATGCTCCGGTGATCTGACCCAGGAAGCACAGGTACTGAATACACATCAAATAAACATATTTCGTGGGGGATATTTCCACATTTAAGGCATACTAAGAGCATGTTTGCACTAAATTTAATCAAGAACTTCATATAAAAAGACTCAAATGCGTTAGAACAGCCAGAACCTCATATGTGAAAGTGTTCAGTGTAATAACAGATTTATTTGCATCTCCTAGTCTGGACACAGTTTACGTTGAAGCGCTCCCAGCTGAATTCAACTTTAGCCTCATAATGCTAGAAGCAGGTTGAGTTAGAAACACAGCAGCACGGTAAGTCACTGCTTCACAACGCCATAACGCACTGATTCACAACTCCTGGAAGGGATTCGACACGGCGTATAATTTTCTCTCTGTCCATCCAGAAACCTGTCAGTCAAATGAACGGCAAGTTAGGGCAGCCAAAAGTCAAGAGGTGGGATCACGACAAAAAAATAAAAAATATGATACTGAGGCGCGACACCCTCGAGTTCAATGCTGCTCCGACTACATCTGTGACAGAAAATGTGACAGAAATGAGTTTCAGGATAAATCTGGAGGATTACAGGTGTTTATTCTGATTCAGGACTTGGAAAATGACTAAAAATGGGAATCTACTTATGCGTTTGGGACTTAAATTCACATAGTCAATCTCCAACTCAGCGTAAAGGGAGCGGATCCAGGTTAAGTCTTGTGGAACAATCACAGATTTCTGCGTTATGGCAGGTATTTGTTCACGTCGCTCAAGAAACACCACAAAAATGAAGTCTGGACTGGTGCACTTTTGTGAGTGTTTTCTCTTTGAATGTAACCTTGACACACACACACAAAGCCAGTGCAAGCAACTTCACTTCAAGGAATTAAAACCACATCTGATCTGACAGATACCAGGGTTGGAAATGTATTTTTGTCTGGTGCAATGAGTGGTAAATACAGGGTTTTTTATTTCATTATGGACTATTTCATTCACCAGTCATGCTGTCATCTTCTCTGGTCAAGACTGGGTAACTACATCAAATAAAAGTCTTAAATGTCAGCTTTAAATAAAGTTAGAGCGGAGCGGCTCCAAATTATGTCGAAACCTGCCAAAGTTTCTGGCACGTCGGCCTGAGCGCAAACAAAAATTGTTTAGCGCTGGCAGGTGGCTGGTTGTGATTTCCCTCCCTGGTTGGGACACAGATTTTGGGCACATGAACACAGATTCAGGCAAACGTGCATCACCCCCCCCCCCCCTTCATCTCACATGCTTGGTTGGTGAACTAACTCCAAGTAGGGGATTTAGGGTCAAAGTTGAAGGGTTAACAAGGTCAGTCAGGGATTGGTAAACATCACTCCGTTACCATAACAACCCAGATACTCACCGGTAAGGTCGCGTGTTCTACGGGTGTTCCCTACGGTAAGAAACATAAACCGGGAAATTTAGCGGATGGCAAAACAGTGAAACTGTTATTAATGGGAGACATGAAAAGTTGAAGGAAAGTGAAGTGAGTGTAACGGCTGCATGGAAATAACAGTCGTCCATCAAATCCCCGCGAGGTCATTGGCAGCTTTTTCCACCTCTGTGCGCAAAGTATTTATTGCACATAGCCCCTTGAGATGATGCTAATCTGGCTTTATCTGGCAATTTTTTTGCGACGTGCTGAAGCACCATGGAGAACTCGACAAGTCGTGGATACACAGCCGCCAGACTTTCTCTATGCGCAGCAGAAAACTGATCAAGGAGCTCATAAGGCATAAAAATTGGAGCACTACAGGTCCAGAATTTCCTTTTTCATTTTCACATGATTATTTTCACTCCGGAGGCCTTTTCATGCCTTCCCCCCGTTCTATCTTTGAATTTGAGCTCAATTCGATTATGAGCTTTTAGCTAGCACTCAACTCCGAGTGGTATTCTTAGCTCTGGGAAAGGGCAGCAGTCTCCTCTCTAGTGAGAACTGGGGGCGATGTAGGTGTGCGCCTCTCTCTCTCTCTCTCTCTCTCTAGTTGCTGAAGTAATGTGAGCCCGCTGAGCTTTTTTAGTGCACGTCTGCTTCCAACTAGTTACATTTAGAGCCGTTTAAACAACCACATGAGCACAAACACACACACATACGGCGCACGCCAGACTGTTGCAAGAATGTTGCTGTGTCACGGTGAGCCTTCATTTAACAAGTACAGACGGGTCAGTGTGAGCGTGTGTGTGTGTGTGTTGGGTTTTCAGTGTGTTTACTGCATAACACCTCAGATTTCTTTTTTTTTTTTTTTACAGTCATAAAAAATGTAAAACAATCACTTGGATTGTGGTTGGATTCTTGGTCTCTCTCCAACGCCTCTCTTCCACCTCAAATATTCTCTCACCTAACCCCCCTCTGAGTGAGCTGGAGCTTCCAAAATGTAGCTCTATTCTCGTCTACTGGAGCTTTATTAAAAAATACTGTATTCTCTTCTCTTATATACGTCGAGGCTACGTTAACCACTACTTGCCGGCTGCATTGTGGGTAATGTAGGTGCCAGGTTTGATGAGCAAGAAGAATGTGTGGAATCAAAAAAGCTGCTACTACTACTTACAGCTAACGTCTGTACAGTCAGCATATTGTACAGTCCGTGTTTTAAACTCCTGTCCAGTCTACTCCCTTCAATAGTATCCAATTCATTCCTGTGCAACTCTACTCTTTTATATGATCCACTCTTGTTTCAGAGGGTCATACCACCCAGCTTTTTAGATCCATAGCATCTGATCTACTTAGGAGGCCCCACACTCTGTGTGTGTGTGTGTGTGTGTGTGTGTGTGTGTGTGTGTGTGTGTGTGTGTTAAAGTGTGTGTTAAAGTGTGTGTGACGGGGTCATGTCCGGGGCTCGTGGGGGTGTAGGAAAAGCTTCTTAGAAGTGCTGGAAAACACTTAGCTCGACCACCTTGTGTGTGTGGCCTAATGGCCTTGTGACCCGCTTTGACCAAATCTGTGTGTGCAATCATCTTAAAACTAACCCGTGTGTGTGTGTGTGTGTGTGTGTGTGTGTGTGTGTGCGCGCTGTAAGTTTCATGAGAACTGTCCATGTGCTTAAATGATCTCACACCGGAGTGGGAACATGGATTGTGTTTATTTGTGTACATAAAAACTTAAGGAAATGCTCCATAATTCACTGCTGAAAGATCCAAATACAAATACAGAAGTCAGGATAAATTCTGGGTCTAGGACGTTTGTTTTGAGGTAACACAAATCTCACCATTAAAAAGGGACTTGCTACTTTTTCCATTTATAATAGCTGTTATAGAAGGAAACCCTTCTGACGCTAATGCTGCTCTGTCAGGCCAGATTTCCTCTGATATAACCACTAGGAACCTACCTACACCCTGCAATACATTCTATACTGTTCATAGTGCATTATAAAATCCAGATAACAGCGTATAATGTCATTACAGTCAGGCTGTAGAGTCAATAGCCTGAGCCGGTGTGTAATCTGGTGCTGCTGACCTGACCAGCTCACCCTTTAATGAGCTTAACGGGCCCCATGTTAACGATCTAACCAGTAACAAGCTGATACTCTAACGAACTAAAGCAGATTGTCCTGCCCTGTGATGTCTCACGCTAACATGCACAGAGACTGGTGCGCGAGCTTATATAACGCAACCGAGGCACGTATACCGGGTAAGTATACGGTGAATACACACATACCGCTCACACAAATTAAACAGCTGTCCTTCGATGTAATCGTAGAAGAAATAAAATCAAATAAATATTATTGATTTATGTCCACTGGCTACATAGACTTTTTGTCTTTTCTGTTTTAATAAACTTTTTCTCTGACAACATGGTTTAAAGGAAAAGTGCGAAGATTTTGGAAAATACGCTTCATATTTAAGATAAAGACATGAAAGCAATAAAAGCTGAAAAAAAATTCTGATTTATTGTTGTAACCTTTGTGTATGTGGCTGCATATGTTTGTATATTTAGGCTTTGTCTTTAAGTGTGAGCATCTTTAAAATCACTTCTTAAGACTTAAATCTTTTAGAAAAAGCCTTTCATTAATGTCACCTTTAGTTTTATCTGCTCTAATTGTTTATTTTCCCTTTTAGAATCTTGTTTTATTGTTGTGTATTATGTTATATATCTTAATATATTGTGTGTGCGTGCTTACAGGCAGGTTGGTGAAGACACTGAAGGTGCTCCTCAGGAAGGCGATGAGGTCAATCAGGTAGTCGCTGGCGTCCAGAGTCCCGCCTCCCTGCACCGCGGCCATCCAATCGTAGTCCGCCAGCTGCAGGAACTGGTCGATCTTGGCATTGAGGCTGGTGTAGATCTCGGCCTCGGCCGCGTGGCGAGCGTCCTGCAAGCAGACAGAGATCGGATTTTTATTAACTATCAATGTTTTGCTGTCATGTTCACTGCTTTACCTTGGTTTACTACTACTTTTAGAGATACATCTGTGTTTCTGTTATACACCAGGACAAAAAAAAGATTAAAAAAAGGTGGGAAGGACAGGAAATTAAAGGAAAGAAAATACAGGAAGGTCATAAAGAGTTTTTATGTTTTTACCTTAAAGGTGGAGGTCCCGTACAGCTTGGTAGCGTTTGCTGTGTCAGGTGGGACATTTGTGATGTTTGATATGAACTCCTCCAGGAAGTGGCAGCTCTGCTCCAGGTGGGTGGTGTTTATGATCACCTGCACCAGCTGGAGGCAAACAGAGGACACAGAAATGACACGGGGAAGCTGGTGGTATGTTTCATATAAAAATGTTCCCACAGGCCAGACATTGAATATAAAAAGTATGTTTCTCCTACAAATGCGTAACTGTGTGGAATACATTTGGGAATTATGTTTTCTCTTATGTTATTATTATTATGATACCTTTTCTGTCATCTTCTATCAAAAATCTAAGCGGCTCTGTGATTTTATTTTGAAATTATGCAATTATATTAAGACAGTAAATGTCAAGAGGTAAACTTTTTTTTGTGCCTTTATTTATTCATTAATTAGATTTTTTTGTGTGGAAAAGTTATAATAAAATAAAACAAAAGAACATAATAGAGCCAATATGTTTAATTTCTACTATAATCAGTCGACCGACACTCATTTGTGTTATTGGATTTTGCATCATAAGCCTCCGCGCGGACACTTGTTCTTGATATTCTGCTCCTTATTTTGAAATTCAGCACAGTTCCTGACTATTAACTGAACTTGTTTAATAAAGGAAGCGGACATGCGGAATTTTTCCATAACACCCTTTTTTTTTTTTTTTTATCGTTTACATCCTGTTCGTGGGAATTAATGATGTTTGGTCTCCAGGCTGATCATTGAGCGTGGAAACAAACAGCACAGGGAAGTGGAAAATAAAAATTACCACTCTGTATCACAGTTCACCGTTCTGCACAGTTATGACAACAACAATAACAGCAGGTTGAAAAGAGGAAACGGCTGTTTTTGTGAGAGTAAATGAGCTGGAAAAAGGTTGAGAATGACCATTCTGAGCAACGGAGTCACACTGAAGTTGTGCAAACAACATTAGCTCGTTCCCTCTGAGAGAGATTATCACAAGAGGGGTTTTTTTTTTTTTTTTCTTACACATTGCACACACACACACACACACACACACACACACACACACACACACACACACACACACACACACACACACACACACACACACACACACACACACACACACACACACACACACACACACACACACACACACAAGTACCTCTGCCAGCCCGACATTCTTCTTCTTAATGGCGTACTGCAGACAGTGGCTGAGGGTTCTGGTCAACAGCAGATTTGTCGACTTACGGATCATATCGTCTACCTCCGTGGAACTGAGGACACACACACACACAAATATACATGAACACACACCCAGGTCCATAAACAGAGAGAACGGCAGAGAATCAGTGACTGTGCAGAAGTGGTTTCTTCCATTTCTCGCAGAGAGCTGCTGCGTCTGAAAGCCAGTACAAACAGTTTAAGTGAATTTCTCAGTCTGTGAATCTCTCCATTTGGAAAAAAATCTAAATGTCAGCCAATTTAAATGAGTACATTACCATGTTATGAGCTGTCAGGCTCATTAGAAGTCTAACATTGCCTTAAATCTCCCGATAAGACTGCAGCTTGAAAATAATTGACCTAAACCACTAAAAGAACAAATCCAAAAATCATCCCCATATCAATAAAATATCCTAACGGCTGACTTTTTGGACCCGTTTGTCACCTGTTCTGATATTAGCCGTGCGTTTTTTGAATATTTACCTACCCCCGTTCTCAGCGGACTTTAAATGGTCATAAAATTACCACCTCTGCACAGCCAACAAGGCATAAAGTAAGCCAGCAGGCTGTTAAATTTGAAATGAGCTCAAATTTCCTGTTAAAACAAATGTTTGATGGCGCTAATCAGACCCACTTACAAAATCTGACATACTTTCAATTTTGTTATGTTTGAAATGTGGGTGATGTTTGCTGAAGAAACCCAGACAAATTACTGCACAATTCTAGGAGTCTAGCAAGGTTGTTCATGGCAGCGTGCATCTCTCTGGCGAGGCTTCACCTCCTGTTTAATAACTGGTTCCTGGAAGCCGCACAAAAAGATGAACTGAGGGCCTGTGTGAGTCCAGATGCTGTTTGACTCTGACATGAGGAGGAGATGGATGAATGTTGACACACACAGCGTCAAGAAGTCAAGAGAAGGTGAGTACACATTTCAAGGAGCGGCGCGTGAAGTAACGAGGGGACAAAAACAATAAAACAGCATTTCATAGTATAACACACACTCATCAGAAAAAGGTCAAAGAGGTCAAAACACACATCGATAATCAGCGGAAACAAAAGCGATCACTTTCTCCCGCTGCGGGATGATGAAGAAGAATCTGTGTTCAAGTGTGTTTTAGTGCGTTCGATTCCAGCGCCCTGTGGGTAACAAACACATTCCAACCAAATCAGTAAATTATCTGTGCCTGGAATTCAACCTAAACACACACACACACACACACACACAAACACACACACACACACCGTGTCGCCTGAGGGAGAGCGAGAGCTGGAATTCCAAACTCACTCTCTTTCCAAAAAAATCGGAGGAATCCTAAAAACGTTCCGACAATTTGGAGCAGGGGGGGAAAAATTCCTGGAGCGGCAGAAGTGCCGAGTGGACAAAAACGGTGCGTGTGTGTGTGTGTGTGGAGAGTGGCAAAAAGTCAATGTATGCTAGTGAACTCTGCAAGCACACACACGCATATACAAATATAGACACACCGCAGTACTTGGATCTAATTTCATTATATTTATGCTGCCATCAGTCACAATAAATGCGCGGTGGTCGACGCTGTCAGAAGGAAGCCAAGTGCCTTCGGTGCAGGCATGTTTACGGCACAGTGAGGAATGGATGGAGACGTGCGGAGGTATTTCCTAAAAATACACAAAGAGCAACAACAATGATAACAACAATAAAGGAAAAAAAAAAAAAGACAAGTCAGCAGTGAAAACAGCAAGAGGTTGGAGCACATAGCCAGGAAGCCACAGGTATGCACGTACTCTACCACCAAACACACTCTGGACAGTGTTAAGGAACATGCAAAAACACACACACACACACACACACACACACACACACACACACACACACACACACACACACACACACACACACACACACACACACACACACACACACACACACACACACACACACACACACACACACACACACACACACACACAATGTCCTTATTTGAATGTGAAGCAGTGAGTGACTGTGCCCACATTTAATAGAAATCAACTGTGGTCATCAATTTGCCAGCCACGTACACTGTGCTCTCTCCGTGTGCGTGTTTCTGCTGACTTTTGGGAGATGGGCAGTTTGAGTGAGTGCATACAGTTTCTATCTGTGTATGTAGCTGCTGTAAGTGTGTGCACACACACACACACACACACAATGGCAGGCAAACGGAGTTCCACTCATATTTTTCTCTCGCCCTCAAATGGCTCCTTAGCACGACTTTCTACGTCATTTTGTGACTGCGGCAGTAGTTCTGATACTGAATGTCACTGCGGTTCAGCTCTTCAGCCGCTCGCTAGCTGAAATAAACCGGCTTCGACTGAAACATTATGAAAGAGAGAGAGAGAGTGGCTTCAATGCAGTAGCACAAAATGACAGGGTTATGTATCCAGAACTTGGTATGAATTGGAACCGGTTCTGGCTCCACAAAAAAATTGGAAGATTGTTAATAAACATGCTTATCAGTTCTGCTTGACAATCTGCTCTGCTTAAATAGGTCAACACACGTTTTTAATCTTCACAACATGGTGGACTAGTGTTAGAGCTCAAAATACAACAGAATGAAGTATTTAAAACCAATTCACTGACAAAAAAAATAAAAAATCTGAAAATGTCCATATTTATGTTACCCTATTATCAGGCTACAGTAGCAGTTGCTACTTGCGGTGACTTCAAAATAAAAGCCCAACAATGTCTGGCTAGTGTAAAGCCTCACCACTTAGCAGCGACAGTAAGTGCCATATTTACATTTACTCCAATTAGAGTGGCCGGACTCTCACCAGCAGAATACACATTTAGAATGAATGTAGTTATAGCATCCATTCATGTCTTTTGACTGACTGCAAACCTTGCTACATCTATGTCATAATGCAAGGTATATTTGTACCTGTACAGCAGGGTTGTATGCTGTAGAAATCAGCTTACAAAACAGCTTGCTCCGTTTTGAATTGTTACAAAAGGTTCAAATCCAAATGTTCCATTTAAATGAACTGAACTTGGTGCAAACATTTTGCTGTCATAACAGGTCGGTTGACAAACTACTGACGCCGTTACACTATCTAAGACTTTAGACATTGACCTTTGCCCAATCTCAAAACCTCCTCCAAACGGTTTTATTTCTGTGACTGGTTTAACACTGCGCCAACTACAAAATAAAATGTGACACCTGTGATTCATGTGAACTGGGAACCTACATTAAACTAGCTTTAACAGCTCTTTGGCATGAGATCCACCATGGCTGGATCTCTACTGGTGTTTGTGATCAAACAGCACGCTCAAGACTGACATAGTGGATTTGATTCTGAATTGTTTGATTGTCCTCTCTTGTGTGGAAATCGTGGCCAAGAATTGTTTTCCCTTTCATCGACAGATGCCTCTGTTTTCCTTCCAGTCCTTCCCTCAACCAGGCTGGCTGAGCGTGCATGCTCTTTCTCAGCAACACCCAGCTTCATATTCGCAGTTCGACACGTTCACACCCACAGTCTTGCAATGCTGGACCGAAAGTTTGGGTTTGAGTGTGTGGCTCATGGGCATCTCTGTGTCAGCTCCAGAGAAAGCAGTTTCTCATGTTTTCACCTTCCAGGTTTTCCCCAAAACAGTTGTTCTACCTCGAGGCTACAGGTTGATGCCTTTCCCACAAAAAGGTTCATGCCAACATCACCTCATCTCCTGTTTCTCCTGAAACATCACAGAGCTGAACAGTCTTAATCGCTGTAGCCCCTGCCAAACCAACACTCAGATCTTTGTGATATCTCTGATTCTTGAGCCATGGTAGCCAAAATAACGGGAAACTAAGCCTGCCAATCATGTTAACACGAGTATTACTGAATGTACATTCTTTGGTTTTCTTAGGGACGACTCGACAGTAGAAACAACCGCTTTCAATATACTTGTTGTCGTGTTTCTCCTTTTCTTAATTTCGAGAGTTTCCTGTGCCTTTGTAATACTACATCACACAGAGGCATGGATTCACTTAGGATCTACGCTGGAAGGAGACAATCTTGTATTGTAGAGTCTACAGCCATTCAACCAGCTAAATGCTAACATCAGCATGCCGACGCTCTCACAATGACAATGTCAACATGCTGATGCAGTCACCATCCTTGCATGTGAACAGCTCAGCCTTTTGGCATGCTAATATTTCATAATTATCACTAAACACAAAGTACAGCTAATGCTGGTTGAACATCATTAGTGTTGCATCTGAGGAGATGAATGTCTGGCAATCCCACCAACAGTTGCTGAGACATTTCACTCATAACAGGTTAAGTCTTCGGATCACCAAAGTCAGTAGGAATGAATGTCCATTGAGAAGATATGGAGATATCTCAGGGAAAACTTTTACCTGCTGGTGGCACTACAGGAAAAGTCAGGGGATCATTAGGGTCATCTAGGAACTATGGATACCAAATTTCATGGCAATCCGTCAATATTTCAGACCAAAGTCGACCAACGGCCACGACGCTAGCTAACCGACACAACAACGAAAACGAACACATGGAGGTAGAAAAGCGATGCACATTATGTACACTTGAAGTAGAATGGCACACACATACACTCAAGCATACTCTCTTTCCACCAAATCAGAATTGGGAACAGAGGTTAAGGTTGGAGGTCAGAAGGATCAATGACCACAATCCCGCTCCATCATCCCGTCTGTTTCCGGGCCTGTGCATCTGTGTGTGTTTGAAGCGGGCAGGAAGGCGTGCCGCCGTGGTAACCAGATAGCTGGGTGTGCAGGACCGTAGAAATCAAGCCAGGTCAAATATTGGAGTCATTACTCTGATTGAGAAGGGCGATTAGTGCTGTCTGGTCAGAGAGAGACCAGAAAGAGAAACTGTTACACAACAAAAACATCTGTCTGGACATTTTTGTGAGTTCAGACGGATGATTTCAGAGTTGTTCAAGCTGTTGTTAAGTTGTTTTAATTAAATTAATCAGACAGAAGCAGACTGTATTAGTAGGAACATCTCAAAAAGCACAGAGCTACCCATTTTTACAACTTTTTTCCCACAACTGGTGCCAAATTTCCCTATTTTGTCCTGTTTAATACCACATCTTAGCAGCTTGTTTTACCAGCAGAGGTTTATTTAAGGTTTGTTTTACACTTTTATGTGTTTAATTTGCTTATTCATCAGTTTGTGATATTGTTAGTGTTTTCTAGTGGATTTCCAGTTATGCTTGTACTTTTCTGTGTATTTTTTTTCTTTTAGGGCATTGTTCATCAATACCGTTTGTCATCTTTTGTTGCACATATTTAAAAGCCTGTTTCTTGGGCTTAATTGTACTAATAATCTGTGACTGAAACCAGCGCTCCGATTTTTAAATGAAGGTTTGATTAAACTGGTTGGAAAGACAGTGTTTCACCATCTGGGTCAACATCTCACCATGAATTAATACAGAAACGCATAAACACAGAGTGATAGTTTGTGTCTTTCTTTTCATCCCTTCTCCTTTTTTTTTCCTATTATGCCAATTCCTTCCCTTTGATTAGAGGACTTCTTTTCCAATCACTCCTCCTCCTCCTCCTCTCCTCCTCCTCCTGCCTCCGTCTCCCTTTCTTCCGCTGGTCACGGATCAATGGTACCTCCCTGGTTCCCAGCCCCCACGGAGAATCAACACACTTATATACAAACACGCACGCACACACACACACACACACAAACAGAAATACAGATACATCTGCAGTATGTAAGTTTAAACAGACAGCATATACACAGATAGACACATGCTGAACACACACAGTTTTAATGTACACACACACAGAAAATCAATGGCATGGAGAAACACAACCGAACATGCAGACACTGGATACAAATACGCTCACAAAATATCCCCCACACAAGCCCCGGGGATATGAGTCTGAATAAAATAAAATGCTATTTTGTTTGAAACCACCAACCAAATCAGAGCGTGACACTAATAATACATATCGAACAGAAGGACTCGCAGTGTGTGTCCAGCTTTTTCTTTTTCGGGTCTTTACATGTGCAGTTCAAGTTTCCCTGTGTGTGTTTATATGCACATATATGAGCATATGTCTCCATGTATGTTGATCAGTGTGTATTGTGTGTGTGTGTGTGTGTGTGTGTGTGCGTGTGTGCGTGCGTGTGCGCAGGTTTTAGCGTGTGTCTGGCTGAATCCCAGCCCTGTGGAATCCTTCTGGACAGCGGAAGTCGTTTCCTGATTGCTCGTCTCCTCGGTAGAAAAGTAGCTGCATTGTTTTAGTTAATTCTTCCATCATCCGTAACCAATACACACACGTACACACACACACACGTACACACACACACACACACACACACACACACACACACACACACACACACACACACACACACACACACACACACGCTCAGAAAGTTACTGTTTAACCTCTAAAGAACGTGGAACAGAAGCTGGGCTTGATTGCGGAGTTGGTGTATGTGGGCCAGATCTAATGAAAAAAGGATCCCTGGTCAGAATGGAAAGAATTGACCGAGGAAAGAGTCTGCTGCATCCGAATGTGTGAATGTATGAGGGTGAGAAAAAGAGAGAGAGAGAGAGAGAGCGAGACAGAGAGAGAGAGACAATGGCAGAAAGTGATGGAGAAAAGAGGATGGCGCAGCACACATGCATGCGAATATATCGGCCATCGGCGGTTGTTGGACTGATGACAGCCAGTTGGAAAATTTTAACGTATCCCCCAGCCCTAACTTCTACTGCCTCCAGGTGTATCGTGGGGAGGCGCCTTCCCCCAGATCAACACATTGGATTTCCAAATTGGGCTGACAAAGGGGAACCGAACCCCAGAAATGAAACATCAATAGACTGATTGATGAACAAAAGACAAAAAGTTTTCCGGTGCGAATGTACCTGAGGTGCAGGTCTTCAGAGTATTTCAGACAGGCATAGATGAACTCTTTGAGCTGGCAGTAGACTTTTGGCACAAACTCGGAGAAGGGAAGCTTCTTGGGGAAGGGAAGCTAGAGGAAATAGAGCAAAAAGAAAACAAAAAAAACAGGGATTATGTGAGATTTCTTTCAAATTTACTTCACATTTTGCATGCGAGCAACCTCACACATGAAGTTCACTTCTTCTTGAGATTCTAAATGAAAGTAGACTATGTAGAGCAACACAGCACTTTCTGTTATATTTATTCCTCTCTCTTTATTTAATAGTTTGTTCATTTCGAAGAGCCCTAATCCCTCAAATTTATTCCGTCTCTCCGTCGCTCTCTACCTTTTCCAGTTCGGGGTCTTGCAGGGGAAACTGGGAAGTGTAGTGTTTGTACTCCTGATCTGTCGAGACTGGGATTGGACTGTAGTTGTCCTGGTCCAACACCTGCCTGGAGAGGAGAGGGAACAAAAAATTAATCACAGGTAAATCGAGCTGGCAAAAGAGATGGCATCAGCCTCTCTCTCTCTCTCACACACACACACACACATATACACAATCATCCCATTGGGGGTCATTCTAACGCTTGAGGTTTTCTTACCACCCTCCCCTCTTTCACCACCCCCACTTCTTGTTGGCGCTCCAGAGTTCGGACGTTCCAACGTTCCATGGAGAGGCCGTGAACCGGAGAGCGCTCCCTCTCCAACAATACAACACAACATTCCTGTGGCTTCCCCAGTGTGTGTTTACGTATGTGTGTATGTGTGTGTGTGTGTAAGAGAGAGAGAGAGAGAGAGAGAGGGAGTGTGTGTTTGTTTGTCCGTTCTCCCTCCAAGTCCCACTGGTGTCATTGGACAAAAGCGATGGTGAAACAATGGCATGTAAGCCCACACACACACACACACACACACACACACACACACACACACACACACACACACACACACACACACACACACACACACACACACACACACACACACACACACACACACACACACACACACACACACACACACACACACACACACACACACACAGATATAAATGAACACAATCTTGTAAGGGTACTACCCATTCTGAAGGGTAGAGAATGTTCCGGACGTTTGCTTTAAAACACTTCCTCTCTCTGGCTGGTCGTAAAACTTCAAAACCAGGACGAGGAAGTTTCCCACAAACCAACACGGGCGTGTGAGTGTGTGTAGTAGCGGCCCCACAATCTCATTGCGCCCTTCTGACCTTATGACTAGAAAGGGGAAGGTCAGCGCAGCACGCACTCTGTCCTCAGCTGCTGAAAAAACAAACTTAGCCCCGAAACACGCACGTCGTCTCTCAGGAATCAGTACCTGAAGGTGATGTTCCATCTCTTGAGGAGGATTTCTCCGTACTGCTCCCTCATCTCCAGCAGCATGTCGAACAGCTGCGACACTGGGAAACCATAACCCTGCAGGAGAGGAAAACCAGAGCGACCAGTCAGTGTCCGGCTGTACCTGAACATGCGAGCATAGATGAAAAAGGAGGCCGATATATGAACTCTTGGCTTCTGCTGGAACTACCTCTACCTTTTTGACCAATTTGGTATTTCAACGTGGTGTTCTGCAACCTGGAATTCCATTTTTACTAGCTTGAGTTACATTTGCTCATAATTCTATCGTTCTGCTGTGGAGGACAACTAATAAAATAATTAATTGAATTCAGTCGGTTTATTTTTCTTTTTTTTTTAAGCACGATCAATTAAGTGTTTGCAAATATGTGTGTTTTGTGTAAAGATACTTTTATGAGTCTAAAATGTAAAAAGGTTCTAAAATATAAAATTCACCAAATGTGAGTTTAGAAGACATAAAAAGGGTTGGAGGACGATATGGATACAGAACATTGATCATCATTAAAGTACCCCTCCACTCAGAAATCTGTTTTTCTTCCTGTTCCTACAGTGTGCTGTTTGAATGATGTATGTGCAGAGTTTGACACTAGAAGGAAGAAGAAGTTTTTACTTTCACCGCTGAAAGTGGAAGGTTTTCTCTGTGCTGATTGAGAATCTCATTTTAAGGGGCGGGGTCTACAAGCGCGATTTGTGACATCACAAATAGTTAGGAAGTCAATCCTGGTCCAGTATGAAACTTGTACAAGAGTGATGGAGAAACGTGAAGCCACCAGTGCACAGACACTGAGAAGGGACTTTAAAGTGAAGTATGAGAAACTTGTGTCTAGTAGGAAAACTTTAGATTATTTTTTAAGGATTTTATTGTTTTTAAGGTTTTTGTGGAAAACAACATATTTTATATATTTGTATATGTCTTAATACATGTCTGGAGGGGATCTTTAAATTAGTTTTTCTATAGGAAGAAATATAGTAAAGTGAAAAACATCTTAAAATACAATAGCACTTAATACACTTTTGACAATGTCCTTGAAACTGTCCTTTAAGGATGCAGTCCGTGCTATTATATATACAATTTTTCACAAATACATCATTTTTGGTTGATCCATTGTTTAGTATGTGTTGTAAAAACAGCACTTGTGCAAGTAAACCCCCGATGAGAGGAAAGTCAGTGAAAGACGAGAAAAGAAGAGGGTGAATTCAGCCATTCAGCGGCACCTCATCACTTCATGTAAATGACTTTTGGGCATCGTACTGTTTATTCATCACTTCCCCTCCCTCGTTCTCTCTCACTCATCTCCGAATGTTTCTCCCGTCCGGTTTCTACCCACATCCCCTCTATCTCCCCTCCATCCTCTAATCCATCACACTCAGCCCATTCAGGTTAGTTCATACATACAGTGGAGAATAAATGTGGAGAGCAAACTGACATCAGATGATAAACTTCTATTTCAAATAAAGTCGAATTAAGAAAGAAAGTCTTTCTTCAGAGATTGGCAGCCGTCCATTTTTAAACAGCAAAACATTGCTTTGAACAAGTTTCATGGGCCCCTGGGGTCAAATAGCTTACTTGGCATGTGCCAAGATACAAGAATATAAGAACAAAAAGTACAAGAAGATCAAAATGGAAAGAAAAAACATGATGTTAACAAGGGCTGCAGGGATGGCAAGCCTTTCCTTTCCTCACAGTGCGCAATTAATCACACACACATACCTGCAGTGTATCAGCAAAAAGGACAATGAGGTTCTTCAGGTCCAGCACCAGGTCAGGGTTGTCACAGTACGACTGCCGAGACAGAGGACCGTGTCAGAGTGCTTGTGTGGAAAGTGTTGTCACAGCTGTCTTTAAATCACGATCGTGTGTATTTGTATTTGGGTTGCGTGTCCTTACGGAGTGCGTCCTCAGGGCGGCGATGATTTTGGACAGCGCCAACTCCCAAAGCTCCTCCACGTACGCTCTGTTGACCAAACCCTGTGTGGTGTGAAGGATGTGGTCCTCCACAACAAAGAAGCTGGTCGGTGGGGAAGGAGGGAAAGACAAGAGGTTGAGAAAGAAAGATGACAAAGACAGAGCGTGATTCATGATACACCAAAATAATCAGCTTAAAAGGATCCATACACAACCCAAGGTGTAAAAAAAAGTTCAGTGATGTTTCTTGGCCAGATGCAGTGACCTCCTTGAGTGTTTCTGTCACTGTCCAAGACATAAGTGTCTTTTTCAATTTGCACACGCCAGGCTACCTGCTAGTCCTTGATTCCAGCCTTAAAGCTAAGCAAAGCTAATTGTCTCCTCATTGTATTTCATGTTTAATGTACAGGTATCTGAATGGCATCCATCTTTTCATCTAACTCTTGACAAGAAAGCACCTTTCCCACAATGTCAAATACATTCTAGGAAAGCCTGGAGCCAGCTCTCACAAGACAATGTAGCTACTACTGTTCCTCACATGAATCAAAAGCTTTGCTGGGAGATATCTGTGTGGAAAATATCCACTGAAATCAAATGAGCATCGGCAACAAGGCGGCTCAACTGGGGTGGTTTTGATGATGACATAGCTCACCGCCTCTCGAAGCTGGCGTACCTTGCAATCAGCCTTTTAAACTGGGCATTATCGATATAAAATGGAACATAATACTGCAACTGCGTGGCCCATTTCCACCCTTGGATTTTGGTGGATAGTTTTAGTGAAATCCGACAACTTTTCCAGAAAAGCTGTCAGGATTACAAGTACCAATGAGAGCCCAGTAAGTGGCGCGTTCATCCAATCAAGCATGAAAAGCTGTTGATGTCTTAGTGACGGACCGCACTCGTCAATCATACGTCGCACTGCTTTCTTTAAATGATGCCAGTGTGAAATGGATCAAATCGCCCACAAAGGGACTTCGGTTTATGTCCCCTGACAACAGTGAACCACTGCCCACTGAGCCTCGCCAGACCACAATGAGCCGCACTGCGGTCGACTCTGTGGTCCAACTGTGTATGGTTAGCTTTCTCTTTGTCATTACTGAAGAGTGTAAATATGTAGGGAGGGATCTTTAACTTTCCGCCTTTTACTTTTATCTAATATATTATGATTATTAATAACAGAAATCAACTTTGACGGAACCATTTTCTTAAAAACGTTTGATAAAAATGGTTATTTGGAAATATCGGTCTAAATGATTAAAATTGAGGGTCAAAATCAAGGTTGGGTTTCTTGACAGTTGGGTGGACTTACTACCTAAATTAGGCCCATAATGTATGGAACTACAAGTTCACTCAACTATTTATTCATTTGAAACAATTTCTGTTTGCTTTTTAGCCTTGTCGTCTTCTCTTTTAATAGCAAATGAATATGTTTTAATGTTTTCTTATTTTGTTTGTACTTATACAAACGTACTCAAATGTAATATATTCAGTTTGACTGCTTTATGTACACACTGTGACTGTGATAGCAGAAGATAACAGCTCTCATCCCTCTGCCATGTGTAAATAAAGGTTGAATGCATAAAAACTTAAACAACAAGCCTGTTCAATTGTTACTGGATGAAAAGATGATTGTTGGAGAGAGAGAATGGATGATGGAATGACTAAATGGTAGAGAAACAGCAATGGATGAGAGACATGGGATGGCACTTTCCAAAACTTCAGATGGAAATAACAGACCTGAGGGTGTGTGCACCATTGTGTGAGTGTGTGTGTGTGTGTGTGTGTGTGTTAGTGTCCAGCCTAGGCGGTGTTTATAGAAGAGTCTGCTCCAGTCAGACAGACAGAAGGAATAACAGCAATAAGCCAACCACCATCACACACACTCTATCAATCGTCACCACTGTGTGTGTGTGTGAGAGAGAGACCGAGAGATTGGATGGAGTGATGGATGAGAGGAAAAGTAAAAGGGAAGGGTGAGTGTGGGCAGAGAGGGATGAAAAAGGATGGGGGAAAAAAACAGTCTGAGAGGAGGAGAGATGAAAAGATGTCAAATGGTCAGAAGTCACTCAAATGAAATGAAATGAGGTGCCGCTAAACGCTGAATGTTTGCTTTCACTCGAAGCTTCTCTTTCTCACCGTCTCTCACTCCGTCTTCTGCCAAGTTACACAGAGGGCTTACAATGGGTGGATGGATGGGTAGATGGAGAGGTGGGTAAAGGTATGACGTGGATGTAAGGATGGCTAGATCCGTGGATGAACGTGTGGAGAGAGTGGGGAGGGAAAGCTGGATGGGCGACGGATGGATGAAGGGATAAATAATAAATGAATGCCTAGATATTAGGGAATTAAACTAATACAAACATTCTTCCTCCTTTTTCCATCTGGGGGATAATAAAGCTCTGTAGTATTTATATTTTCTTATAATTTCTAAGCAGATTTATGAACATTTATACGCATCATGAACATAATTAAATAATAATATCCTTTTGAAATGTGTAAGTCACACTGAACCTAAAAATATGTGCATCATGTCTGTGTGTGAAAATATGTTATTTTGTATATTTTGAGAAGCTAAATTTACAAATGTACATAAATGGCAGTTGAAAACAAGTGGACACTTCCAGTATATATATGAATAAACGGACAGAAATGGCTTCCAAAATATCCTAGGAGAATATTTACTGATAAAAGTAAGCCCAAAAGCCTAAAGCTTAAAGTTTTCATTTTGTCCTTTTGGGGTGTTCAAATGAGAAAATTCAAACAGGTCTGAAAAGATCTGAAAACACTATGGATGAAGAGGTTAAGTAAAGATGGTCTGATGAAGGGATATACAGATGGACGGACTTACCCAACAATCTGATTGAAGTACCGCGTGTATCCTTCCAGAGTTTCATGCTAGAAATGTAAAAGAAGGAAAAGACAAATATGGAGGGAGACGGGGAGAAATGGTAGAGGGATAAAGAAAAGTACAGAAACATAAAAACAATCAGCACAAAACCGTACTTAACGTGCTCGATACAATACATTTACATGAACAAACTGTATCAAATTAACATGAGAACAAATGTGCAATATAATTAACAATAAAACTGTCTTTTTTTGATAATACACCAATTTAAAATCAAAAGCTTTATTGTTATAGATATATTTCTAGTGTAAAACCTTGGATTTGTTCAATATTCCTAATGACGACGACAAAAGTTACAGATTAAGGAGAGTGTGTGAGTGGTAGAGGGGAGTGTGTGTGCAAAGGGGGGAAGTGCCGGTGTAGTTAGCAGTGTGTGGACACGATAGTGCGTACACATATACACAAGAGTGACGGTGCAGGGTCATACCATGTTAGAGTGGGGCTGCAGCACAAGGCGAGCCTGTTTCCTCCTCTGCTTTCTGTAGTAGTTCTCAAACACATCACGCAAACCCTAAAACACAGATTACAGGTAAGAATAGATGGACGGATGGATTTACGATTGACGGATGGATGGATGGGTGGGATACGAGGTATTTGAGAAAATGTCTTCTGTTAAACCCTTTTTTCTGACTGAACATAACTAAAGAATACTCTAAAACTGCAAATAGGCAGTAAAAGAAAACATATTTTGGAAATAAATGAAAAAGAAAAGAAATTAAATTAGAGGATGGGTTCGTGAAGTTCTTTTTTCCCCCATTTTTCATGATTTATTTATTTTGTGGTTGTGATTTGTGTTCATGGCAACAACTTGCAATTCTTCCCTGTTTAGACACCATGCCAGGAAGCTGATTTACTGACAAACTGATTATCAATCGTCATCAAACACTTATACTATTAACACACATAAGAAAGAGGACAAAACTGCGGTCAACTGATATCATATTTGTTGCCCTCTTACTTACAGAATCAATAGCTACTCAATTGTTATTTTTTTCATTGTTTTATGAACTTGTAAGACTTTAAGGACCATTTAATAGAAACAAAGGACAATAAAAAGGAAGATTGGTTCAAATATGCGCCGAATATTGTTGCTGTCGAACTGTATTCCCATGTTTTATTCCCATGTAATAACTTTAAGTGTTACCACTTCATGCTCTTTCAACTAAACTGGAAAACTTCACATACGCAGAAGAATTCTTAAGGTTGTTTGAGGTCGTCATTTGGTTTTAGGGAAGGATGAATTCAATGAGGTATAAAACCAAAGGCTAGAACCGCTGAATGACGGGAAAGCTGAGATAAGGTCATGTGAGAGGTGGAGTAAGAGAGAGATAGAGAACGTGTCTCTGATGTCTGTACTGGTTGCTGTTTAGTTTTGGTTGGCGTCACCGGTCAGACATCAAAACTAAAAACCCGCACACAGAATCAGAAATCACAAAGAATCCGCTTTCTAAACTCAACCACCTCATATCTTTTCTTTCCATTACACAGAAGCTCTCCCTCTTATCTCTCTCTCTCTCTCTCTCTCTCTCTCTCCTGTGTGTGTGTGAGAAACTTGTGGCCTATCTAGGGCCCAGACCAGGACACACAGTCCTTGGTGAGCTCAGAGATAAGAGCCCTGGTCTGGGTAGATAACATGACATGCCCTCTTTACCTACTGACCAGACCACCACCAGCACACATGAATCTAAACTGCTGACCACCAGAGCTCTTGTATGTACACGTGTTTGGTGTACAATCACTATGATAGGAGGTGGTAAGATACAGGAATAAAAATAAAGACATTCTGTGAATTTAACAAACATGTCTTTGTGTTTTCCAAGACTGCGCCTTATCGTGTGTTCCCTCCAAACGTGAGTACAATTATTTGTGTGAGCAGATGTTATGCAAACGCAATGCAAAGATGCAAATAGGTACGGGCAACGCAAATGGTGGGAACACACCCTCTATGATACTACTCCATAGTTATACAGAGAATGGACAACGAAGGAGATTTGCTGGGAGAATAGTAAGAGAGGAAGTGCTGAAAATATGTGTCTATTACTTGATTCAGTTTTACTGTGAAAAGTCTCTACTGTGAACTAAGTTAGCATAGCCCTGATTGATCCGGACTCCATTCAGAAAACAAGCATTTTAAAAGGGGTTTGCTCGTCGTCTTTCAAAATCGGCATCATGTTTTAATTAATTCGGAATCCTGAATAAATAATCATACACCAATAATAAACCAATAAACCAATAAACCTGACCTGATTTTTGCAATTAATTCACAGCAAAATCTGTTTATTATGGGTTCATACCATCATCGAAGGCCCAAGTAAAGGACACATTTTCGCCTTGCATTGCACGGGTAAATGAAACTGATCATGCGAGTTAATGGAGGGGAAAATTCGCTTCCCGTTTGGTGGGAACACACAGTCAGTGCCATTTAGTCACTTTGGTTAAAACTAGACAGGAAGTTGGACAGCGCAGGCCTCTGCCCGGGTGTTTCGTTTCTACAGTGATGTTTGAGCTGGCTGTTCAAAGTTTTGTTGTACGTTTAGTCAAGGCACACCATTCACTTTAATTGTGACAGGTTTGTGCATTCACAACGAATTCAGCTCATTTTACCATAGACACCTGAGTTGCAACTGAAAAATAGTTCAAGTATCTGCCCTGTAATTCTTGTCCGCTCCAAACTTAGATGTAGTCTTTCTTGGCCCATGCTACACCCGTCCACCAAGTTTCATAAAAATCAGGCCAGTAGTTTTACCTGTAATCCTGCTCACAGACAAACAAACGGCACCGAAAACATAACCTCCTTGGTGGAGTTAAAGAAAGATAAAACAACAGAAGTAAAACACACTTGTTGGGAGTGTATGTAATTTATATATTATTTTTCTTTATGTAAATGTGAATCTATACGGAGGTTTTTGGTATCATTTGCTCCGTTCCAGGTGAATTTCTACCCCGTCACAGTTTTTCCCTTTTTCACCTTCTTCAGTTTTCCTCTCGTTCTGCCTGTCTGCTGTTATTTTACAGCTTTTATTAGGGTGTGCTTATCAGAAAATCCAACTCTGCTGTATTTATGTTGCTTCTATCTGGGCCTCTGCATTCGACATGGACGTCCTACACTAAAACAATGGCTATTGAAATTAATTTTGACGATATAAATACGGTATAATAAAAATAAAGTTTGTTCTTTAATTCTTTAATCTGACCCCTGGCTGAACAATGTCCATTGAAAACACATCACAAAGTTACAATCAAAACAATAAAGTGGATGGTAGAAATAGGAATCTCACTGGTCGTAATCTAGATAGTGTTTTGGAACTACGTTTAGTTTGATGTGAGGCGACAAAACTGTGTTCTTTAATTCTTTAATTCCCAGTTTGACCCTCAGCTGAACAATGTGTATTCAACAAACGAGCAGCATCAAATGGCCATGAACTCTTCATTACACTGTGCTCGCTCTCCCTGAGAGAGAGCACAGAGGTGAAACACATGGCTGACATGGGGTGTGTGTGTGTGTGTGTGTGTGTGTGTGTGTGTGTGTGTGTGTGTGTGTGTGTGTGTGTCCTCTGCAATGCCACATAAACAGTGGAGGCAAGGAGATATACAGAGATAAATTAAGACTTAGCAGAGAAGGGGCAGAAACAAAGGAAGAGAAAGGAAAGGAAAAGAAAAGAAAAGAAAAGCATGGAGCCCAAAAATGAATGAAAAAAAACTAAAGAAACAAAAAGACATACGAAGGAGTACAACATTCATCAAATTGAAAAGTGGATGAGAGAAGAAAGTATGATAAATATACAAAGAAAAAAAATGAGCATAAAAGACAGAAAAGGAGAAGAAAAAAAGGAAAAAGAGAAATCCAAATATTGGCATATAAAGCAAAGAGAGCAGAAGGAGAGAAAGAAAAAAAATTAAAAGGAGGACAAAAAAGACAAAGAATAAAAAAGTAAGATGAAGATGAAAGGAAGATAGAAAGAAAGCAGGAGAGAAAAAAATGGAAGGAAAATCAGACAGAGCTCATCAAATAAAGTAAGAAACAGAGAAAACAACAGCAAAAATCCATTGAGGCATCTTTGCAAAATATTTGGCTCTAGAAACTTCAGGGCTACCGGGTGAGCTACTGTAGCTAGCGAGCAAATCTCTAACACGCTATCCAGCTGGGCTTTCACCCATTTTACACCAGTTTCTTCTTGGTAGACTATCAGTTAGTTGGGCAATCGATTGGGTACGTACTGGGGCAATAAGTTTGCACTATTTATGTCTCATAACTGTCTGCAAGCAATTCCTCTTTTGCACACTGAAGTTTAAATAAAAGATGATGTTGCAACGGGGATAATAAGCTGTGGCGGAGTCCTCCATTTTAGACCCTCCAGCCCTCCGTTCTCTCAAAGGTCAGCTTTGTAAAGGCAGCTCGCTATTGGTCAGTGGTGAAAATTTTCCCTGTGTGTGGATTTACTCCCCGCGCTCCCGCTGCAATTTCGATTGCAATGATTTGATTCTGCCGTAACATTTTGCCAATTTAAATGCTTGAGAATATCTGGGACATCAGAGCAGTCCTGTTAACTCCAGCTGTCCTGGTTTTGGTGCAGCCCAGAGCTCCCAGTCTGACCAGTCTGATGGTGTTTCCCCTCTAACTTTTGTGTTTACACCGATCACAACTCTGACCACGTTTTCTCAACGTGCAGTCCGTGTGAGAGGGTAACAAAGGAGTATTGTTCGGGGCACCGATGGTTGGAAAGTGGTGGACTTTAAACACGGAAAAGAGAAGGAGAGATGGAGGCAGAGAGAGGGAAGAGAGGAGAGAATGGATGGAGGAGAAGAAAATGTGGAGAAAGTGGTGGCCTTGATTGCAAATGGGATTCCACGTCCAGGTTTACTAGAAAAATAAATGAAACTGTTACATGCGCGTGCCTGTGTGAGTACAAGTCATTCTCATTTAATAATCAAACTATGTGTGTGTGTGTGTGTGTGTGTGTGTGTGTGTGTGTGTGTGTGTGTGTGTGTGTGTGTGTGTGTTCAGGATTTTCCAGTCGATCCCCATGCCCAGTACAGCAAACTGTGCTGGACATTCTGGTTTTCTTTTCTAATGGTAAATCCACATCTCTGCCCAATGGCCTGTCATTCAAAGTGCCGCGACACCACTTTAATGGGTAAAACAGTTTCAGCCGTGTGTGTGTGTGTGTGTGTGTGTGTGTGTGTGTGTGTGTGTGTGTGTGTGTGTGTGTGTGTGTGTGTGAGAGAGAGAGAGAGAGAGAGAGACCTTGTGTCCTTTTACAACACAACTCAACTCATTTTACCGTTTTAATCCAAAAGGAACCCTTAAAATATTGCAAAGAATAACAGAGGAAGGAGTGGAAAAACAAATTAACACACAAATAAGAAAGTGTGTGTGACTGTGTGTGACTGTGTGTGTGTGTGTGTGTGTGTGTGTGTGTGTGTGTGTGTGTGAGAGGAGCGAGTGAACAAGGCTGACCTCAGAGGTCGAGAGGTCAGACCTTTCAACACCTTCCCGAGACAGAACGCACTCCTTTCCCCCTTCTCCATCTCTCATCCTTCATTCTCTCTTTTCCTTCTTTTTCATTTTCTTCCTCCCCCCCTTCCCCTCTCCTCTCCCTCACCCCTGTCGTTACCCCCTGTCTCTAATCTCTCTCCCTCTGTGTTGTGTTTTCACCCTTGTCTTCCTGTTTTTGCCCCTTTAACCTCCCTGCGACCTCCCTCCTTTCCTCCCCCCCTCCTCTTCGCTCCTTATCGCTCTGTAGCCGATTCACTCTCTCCTCTCTCCTTCCTGTAAACGCCGCTGCTATACCTCCGCTGACCTTTACCCTCTCTCCCCTCTTCTTATCACAACCACTTGCTCATCATTTAAGTTCTCATTTTTCCTCCTTCACTTTCTCCTCTCCTCTTATTGATCTTTATTTAACCAGTCTTTTCCTTCTCTCCTTCATCCCCTTTCTCTTCATCTTTCTATCATTTAGTCCTTATTTGTAGCCAATTACCTTTTTCTCAACATCCTCCTGTTGCTCCATTTCTCTCATTAATTCATTAAGTTAAAGGACTACCGTTGTAGTCCGACAAATCACTTCTTTTTAGGCAGATTTCCTACCTAATGAGATAAAATTAAAAACAGTAACACTCATTTCCTATGAATGAAGGCCATTTCAATTAAATGCGCTAATGGCGGACTCCGCCACTAACAATTAAAGGTACTATATAGAGATAGAGATATACAGAGAAATGTAAATATATTAAATAGCTATTGCTGGAAAAATGTTGACCATGAATAGCATCAAAACAGGGTTTGAAATATATATTTTGGGGGGTTTTAATTGACAGTGACAGTTAAAGAGTGACAGAAGGGGGGAGGGATAAGACAGACTTGTCTTGAATATTTACTTCTTTCTTATAAATTACTGTAGTTTTACCTCTTCAGGCATTTAATAATGATTCAAATGAAAGAATCAGGGGGAAAATCATTCTTAAAGACATCCACAACGAGGGGTCAAAAGTATTTGTTACAGGTTATAAAAAGGTTCCAAGTAGAATTGTTTACCTCTAGTAGCGCTATAAAGCTGTTTTTCTACGAAAACGGGACCCTGTTTTGTTTACACTGAACACATTTGTTACAGCTCAAGGACACACACTCTGTGTTTCGGTGAGCAACACTGAATGTAAACATAACTTTTGTTTGTTTACTCTCAGAAGAGCACCTTTAAGGGGCCACAGGCAAATTATAATGTAGTGTTAAAATGTAAAGCTCGGAGCTCCTTCAACATCCCCTCACAACTCACACGATGAGAACATTAAACCAGAGGCAGTCTGAAACACGTTGTTGTCTTCTTTTTCCTCTCTTCTTCCCTCCCTCACCACCATGAAATTTTCCCTGTTCTCACCCCTTTAAACTTTTCTGACCTCTCTTCTCTTCCCTCATCTCTCTTCCTCCTCTATCATTAAACCTTCCTCTCCCTTCTCTGTACCCTCCCGATCTCTTTTATTCTCCTGCTTCTTCCATCATCTCGCCCCCTTTGCCCTTTCTCTAACCTCACTCTCCCTTTTCGCTCCCTCCCTCTATCGCTCTTTTTGCCCGTTCATTTTCTCCTTCCTGGCAAAGTTCATGCACTTCCTGTCCCCCCCTCGGTCAGAGAGCCCCCAAAGACACACACACACACAACACACACACACACACACACACACACACACACACACAACACACACCACACACACACACACACACACACACACACACACACACACACACACACACAAACTGAATAGAAACAGCTGACCCTCTGGCCGTGTTGGCCCGGTCACAGCCCCTGACTGCAGGCACGCAAACACACAGACACACAGATACACACAGACCCCAAATGTGCAACTAACCCAGTCATGGCCCAGTCAACACCTCCACCCATGTCGCTTTCGCTCTAACTGAGATGAGACACACACACACACACACACACACACACGCACACACATACGTACACACACACTGCAGCAGCAGCCACGGTTGGAGTGAAGCCAGGCTCGAGGCAGAGGCCTCATCTTACAGCATCATATATTATACATACACATATTGTGGTAACTCTCCTATAGGGGCCGGGCGATATGACGACATACGGTATTGCCACGAGACAACCGTCATCCGTCACAGCTTTTACCATTTTAAACCAAAGTGGCTTCTCCTTTGATATCTCTGATAGCATTGGGTCTTTGTAGGCAACGCTGCAAATGAATGGGCGCAACTGCTTCATGGCGACGTTGGAGTTACGGGATTGTTGCATAGAGAAGTTTATATGCAGTTTTTTCCCCCGACAGCAGATGACCTTATCAACAAGACCCAGGACCTGACTGACACTGAATCTTTATACAATAAAATATACAATTTAATTATAATTAAACTGTATATTTTCTTGATCCTTCAGAGTTTTAGTGAGAATTCTGTTTTTCCCTTTTTTTTCTGTTTAGAGTTATAAAATAACAAAATGCCAAGGAAAATTCTTTGTATGTGAAAACTTACCTGGCAATAAACCTGAATATATAATCATTTGTCAGGTGTAAAACTCTAGAAAACGAAAAACTAGAGTTTTCCTAACAGTTTCAGATGTTGATATCACAATATGAACTTGTCAGACATTAGACGTTCTCCATATCTCCCTACCCCAGTTGTCCCTTCTGCTCTCTCAAAAATCAACAGAAGAAGCTGTTTCCGTTCCCCATTCAGCTGCTTAGTAACAAAAAAGTAAAATTGAGTTATCAGTATCCAACAATATCTACTTATCCTACATTATCTTCCATCTGATCTATCTTGTAATGCAACAATAAAGTTTAATTGAATTCTACGATAGTGTGTATGGTCTATTTATATGGAGGAAATCTCCTTATTGAATCAAACAAGAATCAGAAGTTTTGATATCGGGCTAATGTCTCCTTGATTAAGTCAATACATCTGCACCACAGAACATTGCTACTTAAGTTAGACATTGTGAGCGTGGTGGGGGCGCAGATATTAGCAGTGGTTTATAACAGGAACCGATCAGAGTTAGAGTTCATGATCACCAAAACAGGATTGTTTGCAACTGGAGTGCTTGCGGATCAACTTGTGGGAGAGGACGAAACAACTTCAAGTGACGGATGAACGGTTGTGGAGATAAGAAAGAGAAAGACGCAAACAAGAGGATTAACTCACCAGCACAGTGTAGATATGCAGACAGCAGTAAACCGGAGAGAAATCCACCAAATCGTGAGCTCCTGGGACCTACGGAGGGGAACAATTGGTCCAATCAGTCTGGATGAACAACATGCCAGAACACTGGCTGCTTCATGCATTTGTATTGTTATTGTTATTCAGCTTTCTATTTCTGTGTCTACTATCTATATCCTTTATAGGTTTTGACAATGCACACGTCATGAAAATACAGCAAATTCAAGCAAATTGAAAAGAAGACTTCCCCAAATTCCAGTGTCTCCTTCGCTCCCGAAGGAGCAAACTGTGCTTGAGGCAGATGGTTTTTGTGGCAGAACACAGTAAGATTTGTTTTCGTTCATCTTTATTTTATACTTTAAAAACAAGGGGTTCCCAAACTTTCCATGCCAAGGCCCCCCTCAAATAGCAATAGCTTATGGCCGGGGTCCCCATTTTGCTAGAGATGTCTTTAAAAACCCATTGACAATACTATATTCACTAAGATTTCTATGTTATATGCGCTAAGAATTATATTATAATTATATTATAACAATAAACATAGTGATAGCAGCCCGCACTTTAGAAAATACAGCTTGTTTTACTTTATTTGCTATCACTAAAAAGTTGCGTCATTCCATGCGCCTCACAACACCATGTTTCATGTATATTTGCTTTCTGTTAATGTATACATTCTGGCTGTGCTGTAAGTGACAGAGAGACATAGAAACAGAGCGAGAGAGAGGAGCAAAGCATTCTGCAGCACTTCATTATTTTGTCTGAAAGTCTTCTGACAGTGTCACCAGTCGTTCATACCTCCTTGTCTTTCCATCTATCCCTCCGTCTAACCATCCCACATTCCACTCCCTCCTCTCTACCCACATCCTCTGTCTTCCGGGGAACAACACAGTGGCAATTTACCCATTTTAACACACACACACACACACACACACACACACACACACACACACACACACACACACACACACACACACACACACACACACACACACACACACACACACACACACACACACACACACACACAAAGCAAAAAGCCATGTGCCCTCTTGCCCTCTGGAAAGTTTGCTTTCTGTAAAAATCATTGGAGGCGCAGCACAATGCCAGCTTTGATGTAACCGCACACACACACACACACACAGAGTCCTGAAACAATGTGAGCAAACAAATAGTCGTATCAACTTGAAGACAGAGGTGGAGGGAGAGGAGGAATGGAGCAGGAAAAGAGGAAGATTGAGAGCTGAAGGGATGATGATAGGAGAGATACAAGCAGGTACATGTGGTTTAATGTTTAAAGAACGGAAATGAACGATAATAAAAACATAAGGAAGGAGTCGAAGAGGAACAAACCGGAAAGAGCGGGAAGAGAGAAACAAGAGATGATGGGAGACAATTTAAAAATGTCAGCGAGGTGAAGAAGACAAGGAAACGGCGTATGAAAAAGGAGACAAAGGCCAAGAAAAGAAGAACAAAGGCAACGAAGAAAAAGAGGATACAGACACACAGGGGGACGACTGTAAATGAGGGGAGGAAAGGGAAAGACATGGCAGTGGCAGGGATGGCGTGAGGAGACGGGACGCCGTCGGCTGCGGCGATGCCAACCATCGGCGCCAACGCGGTCGTAACCCTGACGACCGAGGGGTCAGGCCTTTGTTCGAGCCAAGGTCTTCCCGTGAAGAGGGTTGAGTCAAGTTTACAGGACGTAAATAAGCCAAGGGGACGACAGGGACCTTAAAACAGAATGGCAGCACGGGGGTGACAAGTTCAGCTCCATTCTATTCAACTTCATTGTACTTTGCTTTCCTTGAGTGTGAACAACACACATAAAAGGACTTCTGATCCCGCGAGGGATGACTTGAAGAGTTCAGTGTCGAAATGCTTTGTGTCCATTTTGTAGCAGTGACACAAATTCTACAAGTTCATTTTCTGAACAGCCTGTAAACATGTTATTGGTGTACTTAAATAACCTACTGTTCCTCAAACTGGTGTAACTGTGTATCAATCACTTTGTAAGATAATTCGATGGACAATACAGGTTGTCAAAGCGCCCTCGAGCAAGACAATGGGCCTCGTGCAAGAACCACTCATGTGAACATATTCGAGAACTTGCAGCATTCATCGATATCATTGTTAATCTGAACTGGCTATTGTTGGGGTTAGGGTTTCTCAGGTCACAGTGCAGTAGAACAGCCTCAGCTGACAAGGCCTGACAATGCAACAGCATCTATTATGGCACGTATTATTTAATATATATCTTGACCCCGTCCCGTTGTGGCCTTGCTTTTTATATCAAACCATTTCTTCTTGATTTCACCAACAGTACGACCCTCAGGTGACACGCCGGTAACAGAACTTGTTTAGTTTTTCCCCATTCAACTTTAGCAGGTCCTGTATTTCCACTGCTCACGCTCTTTTTTTTTTTTTTTTTTTACCATTTTCCTAAATGAACTTCTGTGCAGCCTTACATGGTATTATCGGGGTGTTTGTTACGCACATTTTCGGGGCGTTTGTTACGCACATTTTCAAACCTCATGAACGTGTGCGCACAGGTGGCGTTCATTTTTACGCAATGTGATTTACACATAAATCTAAAGTTAGGAGCGTTTGCTCTTGACGTGGCACACTAATACGAGTCCACCATATGGGGAAAAAAAATAAGAGAAAGTTAAGATAAGATTACGAAAATGTCCTTGCATGAGCCTCAATGAACCCAAATCAACTACCACCACCAATCAGAGTGGAAGAGGTTTAAATGGAAAAGGAAAGACAAGGGGACATGAGCCTAAGGCAATAATGGACACATGGAAGAGATGAAAGAAGGGAGACTGAAAATGGAGAAACAACAAAGAGAAAGCGACAGGAAGCGAGTAAAGTTGAGGATTTTCAGGCTTCAAAGTGGATTCATCCATTTGGAGGACGGAAACTCATCAAAGGTTTGATCAGGACCGCTGCAATTGGCAACAATTATATCTGTGAATCTTGATCAGAAATCGTACTGCCAACCACGAATCAGAAACAAATGGGGTCAGATTTAGATTAGATTCACGTTGGCGATAAGAGGTCATGATACCCAATCCCTTCCTTTTATTTGTCCAGCTTGAAATGACAAAAGCCGTTAGGAAATTTATGAAATCCAGCAACATGTGTGTGATGCAAGCTTCAATACTTTGATGTGTTTGCGTGTTTGTTTGTAGTCTCACTTCATCATCCTCCTCTTCATCCTCCACATCCAGAATGCCAGAGTCCTGTTCCGACACCGGACTGCCACCCTGCCTTTCGCTGTCCGTCCCGGCCCCTCCTGCCACCGCCGCCTCCTTTCTGCTGCGTCGTCCGAGCAGGGCCCTCGGCTGCGTGGAGATGGAGCTGTCCAGCGAGCGCTGTAGCTGGGCCTGAAGCACAACACAGAAAAGGCACATCAGAAAACCATACACGATTAATTCAGCCATTGGAACTCTTAAACTCTCCCTCTTAAACTGCTTTGTTTGCTTCACTTTTTTCCTACATTTCCCAGAACACTTTTCAAAAGCCGCAGAGGAGGAAGGGGAACTTGTTGCATTTAGCTTTTGGCGCGACTTCAGAGCAGAGGAATCGCTTTGATATTGAGGGTCTGACACCGAAACCAGATGTTTACTGATAACACACCATCTGTAATCGAACTCCACTGTAGCTGCCCTGACGTGCCAAGATTACACTTTATAGGGGACACAGAGAGAAATAAAAGTACACCAACAAACAGAAGGGACTCAGACTTGGAAGCAGCTTTCAGACAACCCTCATAAGAAAACATTTTAATCCTCTTAGGCAAGTAAGCATTAACTGCATGAATAACATTTACCCGGTTCCCATTTTTAAGTTTACAGTTTCGGGAAAAGCTTAGAAATTGTAGACGGTGTAATGAGGTTACTGGTCAAGACCTTTGAGTCAAACCTCCTCCTTGTCCCATGAAAATACTAAAAGTGATTTACCAAAGCACCTAAGAATACACCAGAGGGAAAAGAGCAAGACAGGAAGGGAAGAACAGGAAGGATGAAGAGTCAATGAAACCGAAAACAAAGCGCATAAAATCAGTGCTCTGTACTTCAGACAGAGAAGGCTTAAATGCTGGATCTGTGCTTTTGCTTGTCAAAATCCTAATGAAAATTTAGGTAAACTAGTAAAATGTATGCATATTTAAGCTACGTATCTGAAAGCAATAGGTTTACAAAGTATCTTCAGTTAAATTGTATCACAAAATTACAGAGAAGCAAACCAAAGGCAGGCCAGAATTGAGAGATAATATATTAAAACTTCAAATATAGGTTTTTCAAATAAAACATGTATTCATAAGTAGCATAGATTTGGGTAATGTAGCAATGATCTTATCAGTGAAATTTCCCAAAATAAACAGACATAAAAGGAGGTGGAGCACAGACAGAAGGAAATGGAAATGCAGTCCAAATGGAAAGACTCTCCACAGAACAATGCAACGCGCAATGTAATACCTGATGCAAACCATGTCCCGTCTATGTAACTATTTGGGGAAAACACAGTATTATGGGAAATGGGGCGTTCTGCTCCCTCTGCGGCGGTATTCGACCAGGAATACTAAAAATAAAAATAATCAAACAGGAAGTTTTGGTATCCAACACAAAATGAAAACAGAGTCACGTTTCTAATAGAGATGGCCATTGTTGCAGACTTTGTAGGTAACTGAGATGTTTTTGTCTCCATAGTGTTTCCAATGTTTTTGTTTTTCAGTTTAACACAACCGCTAATATCTGAACATGACGATTTTTTGGATTCGATCATTAAACGCCACTAACTCTCATTCCCATGATCTTCTATTCCTATGTCTCCGAAGCTTTGCAAACAAAATATTTCTGTGGGAAAACCTTGTTATGGGGGGGGAAAACCCTCTCAGATCTAAACTGAGTGCATCTTTCCATCCACACCCAGATCCGTCTCAGGTCCTTTTGAAAAACCTACGTGAATGCTGCGGCTTCCTCGGCTCGCCGGCGCCAGCACGTAGCCAGCCTCGTGCGCTTAAATCTGTCGATAAGGACGTCAATAAATACGTCAGAGACTTCAAGTGCCTCGATTTGCGCCTTTAATGACAACGGTAATGAGAAAAACTGGTGTTCATGGGAGGGTGGATACGCACAAACCCGGAAGAACACAATATCAGTGGTGTTGGAAGAATACAATGCCATCTTTGATCTAATGCCCACACACACATAGAACACTAATGAGTCATATAAGACAATAAGTCACAAACAAAATCAGTGGAAAGTCTCGATCCTTTGCATAGGAGGTTAAGGAGAAGCAGGTGGGGACACACAGAAATGTACCAAGCTGTGCCCACTCTTTTGAGGAACGAAGAATAGGTGACGAACAATCTCTAAAAATATTCCCAGCGAGTCTTTTTACCAATTCTTCGAGGATCAGTCGAGAAAAACTCTTCAAAAACGCTCAAAGAGGCACAATGAAAGAGAACCTCAAAAACACTAAATGAAAAGCGACACTTTTTTTTCCTCTGCATGGCCTTCTAATCCGTCAAACGGTCGATTTTCCTTTTCTCCACAAACAAATTAACACAACTAGACCTCAAAAGGCAGCAACCTATGAAAGACACACACAAGAGAGGGAATGAACGACATAGAAAAGCATCTTTCTTGCACAATACGACGCTACAGCTACCGACGTCAGCACCTACGTCAGAAATTCCACTTAGTGGTCGAATTCAGCACTTTCGCATTCTTCCCCAGGTGTATGCGTGTCTTGAGGCATCCGCTGGCATGCTGTTTACACCCTTGCACCACCATTCATCCTTACCTATCCCACAATACCAAGTTCTGTTCGCAAGTAGGAACCTTTTTGGCTCTGTCTTTTGTTGCGTTTTTTCTTCGGGGGTGGCATTCGGCGTGGCACTTGAAGTTCAAGTGCGGGAATGTGCGTCATCCCTCGCGCACAATCCCATAGGAAAAGAGGGAGAGCGGGAGGGGGAGAAAACGTCGGGGAAAAGAAGTGGATAGAGAATGACGTACAGCACGAGGGGGAAAAGGTGGAGAGGGAGAAAAGAGTAAGGGAGAGGTGGCAAAGAGGAGAAGGGCAGGAGGTGAAAAGAAGATGGCAATGGATGGAAATTGCCCGAGAGGAAGCGGGAACACACTGCTGGGGATGAGGACCAGAGTCAGAGCCACGCTTTAATCCATTTAGTGCAAAATGACTCTAAATATTTTTAAAATTATCTGATATTACACTGTGGCAACACCACAAGTCAGCCCCGAGTTAAATATGTGCTGCGTGGCTTCGCTGACAAACTTCAAGGCGATTTGCAGTCTTCTGTGTTTATCTGCGGGCTGAGCGCGGAAATTGACAAAAATTGCAAGTGAAAGAGCAAAGTTGCAGTGATCTCTTTGTTGACAAGTGGTTAAAAGGCGGCTGTTTATTGTGGGGTAGTTGCAACGATTTGTGAAAAACAGGCATCCAACGCCATTCTCCGAGAAGGAAATGGGGGTTTATGTAGTGACAGTGTAAACTATCTGGGAAACAGATAAATGTAATTAACATTACTTTTCAAACATGAGTTATAACTGCCAACAGAAGATTTGTTTTCCAAAACAAAATACCAGATAAAAAAAAGACATAAAAACGTACGTACTGGGTAGGTAGGTACTCGGGACAGCTTGTGTTTGTTTAACCGGATGACCAAACATTTACAAGCTGCCTGTTATTAATCCGACAAGATGATACGAGCCAAACTTCACTGAAATTTATGATTTTTATATTTGTGAGGCGGTTTGGAACATGGATCTTCCTATGCATATTAGGCGTTCACTGAGACACCGGGTGTGTGTACCATGTCGTAGTAAAAATTGTACATTTTGACTGTTACAGGGTTAAAGGTAAAGTCAGCAGGTCATTGTTCTTATACATTAGGGCTGTCTAAGGGGATTCTGAAGGATAAATAGAAGCCCATCAATGCTTCTTTTTTTTTTTAACTGACTGGTATTGTTTTACTCACTTATTGCGACCTATTGATAGGAGCAAGAGAAGCAGAGGCACCTTTAGACTAAATTTATACATTTTGAAGGTGGACCACATCCTTAAATGCTACCGTTTGCTGCCTCTGAAGCTCAACAGATACTACACAAGAAGATGAGAAGACGGCTGCTAAATACGAATCTACGGCCAGCAGCCAGTTATCTTAGCTTAGCATAAGGAAATAGCTAGCCTGGCTCTGTCCAAACGTAACAAAATCAGCTCCTCTAAGCTCACTAACTGACATTTTATATCTTGTTTGCCTAATCCGTAGAAAAATCGAAGTGGAGTCTACACTGCTTGGGGATAAGACTGGGTGCTGAACCTCAGTTCTTTTTGAGTTTTCTAAAAATTGTCAAGTAATCTAAGCTGTTATTGAATGCCTTGTAATAATAATGGTCTTATTTTGATCATTATTTGAGCACAAATTTCCTGATCTCACTCAAGGTATCCGGCAAAATGGAACATTTTAGACTGTGGATGCTTTATTTTAAGACAATATTAAACACTGGCAGTTTGAGAAGTTTGGTTTATTTTGGCAAATCCTAAATAAAAAAGAGGTTTGTAGAAAAACTTGTATGGAAAAGAGTATTGTTTTGCCATCATGACCAAAGGACAAGTATGGTATTTGCACTGGTGTATTCCAAGCACACTTCACAGCTGTATTATGTAGGAAAATATAAATATCAATTTGGCACTCTGCATAGAAAAATACTCCACGTTAAATGACTCGGATAAAGGATCGGGGGCAAAAACCTGACTGGGACATCCCTACTATATATCACTTTTTTGGCAGGCGGACCTCACCCAGAAATAATGGTGTCCGATGGCAGTGAACTGTGGAGCATTATTCGGCAGACAACACACACACACGCAGAGCGACTGACACAACAACCCATAACAGTCTATTTTCGTTTTCCCTGTGATGGTTCAATACACCGACCCAGCGAGCGTGCCCTCCGCCACCCTCGCTGCACGCGCACGCATGTGTGTGTTCAGTAACTAAATACAGGTAATCAATCTTCTTCCACTTCACAGGCCCTACAATCTGTTTCCCATTAGTGTGTGCGACCTTGTGTGTGTGTGTGTGTGTGTGTGTGTGTGTGTGTGTGTGTGTGTGTGTGTGTGTGTAAAACTACCGAATACACAGCAGAAGCTCTGGACCCGTCCTTTGCTGAAAGTGAATAAAAGAAAGGAGAAAAAAAAAAAAGAGGAGCAAGAGAAGAAAGGAGGGAGGGAAGTAGATGGAAAGATGAGGAGATGGAAAGAGTGGAGGAGAGAGAAAGACAGAGACGGACATCTTGAGAGAGAAGGGGAAATGTGATGTGACAGAGTAAGAGAGAGAGGGGGAAATGACGAACGACAGGGG